TGCCAGTTCTTAGCTCTGCACTTGGTTTTCTAAACCTATGATAAGAAGCGTGTTGCTATTCCCTCACTGAGCACCTGACAAGATGTTCCTTCTTAGGGGGTTTCTAGATGAGTGGGAAAGTAAGAAAGCTCTTGTGAACTACATGAGAACAGTCTTGCTGGGCTGGAGAACAGAGAAGATGAAAAAATGTCTGTCTTTCCAAATATGACCAGCCTTTTTTTCATTCTCTGAACTGTGGATTAAGCCCATACAGTCCCTAATTAATCAAGTCCACAGAAATTCTGCAATCCTCTTTAAGCTATTTTCTTACTAGCAATGAAAAGGGCCAAAGGCTGTTTTGTGACTTGAACCCACCTAGTTCTCTCCAGCTAAACTTCCTATTTTGCACACTTTTCCTCCTCAGGGTAGCATGACTCTGTCCTTTTGCCTCCTAGGTGTAATCCCTGCTCCATACAATTTCCAGCTACTGTTGGATACTCTTTAAGACAGTGCTGGTTGGGCAGGTCAAAATCACAACAAGGAATCAGTTAAAATTTAACAGGTCTTGCCTTGTGGCCAAATGGAACAACTAAAATATTCTGAGAAGGCAGCTATCCCTTTCAGCAGCTTTCTTCATGCTGGAAAAGGGATTGACTCCTCTGAACAGTTACAGCAGCCTAAAGCTGATATGCTGGAACACAGGAGGAGGCCTTCACTTCAGATTTTTCATTGTGTTTGAAATTACAGACTGAAATAGGTTTTTACAACTGGCATCCATCAATTTTTTCTGCTCTTAGTCAAGGTCTCTTACATCATGTGCAGTCCAGAACAGCTGCTCTGAAGGGCATCACTGCTCCTGCAACAGTGCAAATGAAAGAAGACTGATGCTGCCCTGATGAATACAGAGGACTGAATGAAATTCTGAGTGCAAGTGTGTCACATGAAATTAAACCTGAGGAAGACCTACCCAAGTAGTTGCAAAGTACTTCACCATCACTGGTGAAACAGAAACAAACAGCACCAGGGTGTGCTAAGTTGTGGGTTGGAGAAAATTTGCTGGCTGGGAACGTGCACAGTTGGAATAATCACATAACCTATTTTAGGCACCAAATGTAGGTTGTGTACATGAGGAGGCTCTTTTTGGTCAGTGCACAGAAGTAGGTGAAGCCCTCCCAAAGGTGATTTAGAACATTTAAATTCAGGAATATTTAGGTTCTTATTTGAATGCTCTGAGTTTCTCTCCAGAGGCACTTCTCTTCACTGGTTGTGCAAAGAGTGAGGCTCCTAATTTTGGAACATGATGCACTCCTAAATTAGGGAAGTAATCAAACGCTGTGAATTACTCCTCCCTTCCCTTCTCCCCCACTGGCAGTTGAACCTATAATGGCATCAGACTGAGCCATATTCTGATTACAGTAGTAGTGGTGGCAACCGTGACACAATTTCATTAATTTATAGGACAGGAAACTCTAGATAGTAGTAGTGAAAATAGAGTCTCATCTGGGATGCTGAAATCCTTCTATGAGAATTGCTGATATTAAAATCATCTGACTGAAAATTTCAAAACCAAAATCTCCAAGTTTCTAAACACATACAGTTACTTTAAGCTTTGTTTACTATCATTACATGCATGCAGAGCACGGGGAAATGATACTATGGATCTGCTGCTCCAGCTAGATCCCTACAAACCTATGGGGGCCTGATCCCTACAAATCTACTGGGCCTGAATTCTCAAAGAGCTGGCTGAAGTAATCATAAAGCCTTTCTCACTGATTTTTGAGAGGTCTTGGGAATTTGGAGAGGTCCCAGCTGACTGGAAGCTGGGGAACATCATCCCAACTTCAAAGAAGGGCAAGAAGAAGGATCCCAGAAACTACAAGCCTGTTAGTTTCACTTCAGTAACTGACAAATTCACAGGAAGGATTATTCTGGGAAGCACTGAAACACAACACCTGGAGGACAATGCAGTCATTGGTTCATGAAGGAAAGTCCTGCTTGTCAAGCCTGATTTCCTTCTACGACAGGGTAACCCACTGATCTAGGAAACCAGCAGATGTAAGCCTTTTGAACTTCAGCAAAACTTTTGATACTGTCTCTCACAGTGTCCTTCTGGAGAAAGCATCCAGCTTACAGCTGGACAACCCTGTTACACAATGGGTGACCAACATGGGCACAAAGGGTTACACTGAATGGGGTGACCTCAGACTGGTGACCTGCCACTGCTGGGGTTCCACAGAACTCCGTCCTCACCCCTGTGCTCTTCAACACCTTCACTGGACACAGGACTCACCTGGATACTATGTACATTTGCTGATGACATTAAACTGGGCAGAGCCATTGATTCCCTCAAGGGCAGAGAGGGCCTGCAGAGAGATCTCAATAAATTAAGAGGACTGGGCAATCACCAACCATATGAAGTTTGACAAGGGCAAGTGCCAGATTATTCACCTGGGATGGAGCAATCCTGGTTGTAGGTGGAGAGTGGGGAATGAGATGGAGAGCAGTACCATGGAAAGGGACCTGGGGGTCCTGGCCCATGGCAAGCTGAGCCTGAGCCAGCAGTGCCCTGGCAGCCAGGAGGGCCAACCCTGTCCTGGGGGCATCAGGCACAGCATGGCCAGCAGGGCAAGGGAGGGGATTGTCCTGCTCTGCTCTGCCCTGGGGCGGCCTCACCTTGGATATTACGTGCAGTTTTGAGTGCCACAATATTAAAAAGACATTAAGCTGCTAGAGGGTGTCCAAGAAGAGCCTCCAAGGATGGTGAAGGGTCTGGAGGGGAATCCATATGAGGAGTGGCTGAGGTCACTTGGTCTGTTCAGCCTGGAGGAGAGACTGAAGGGAGACCTCAGTGTGGTCCTCAACAACCTCATCAGGGGAGGCAGAGGAGCAAGTACTGATCTCTTCACTCTTGTGATTAGTGACAGGCCACGAGGGAAGGCATGAAGCTGAGTTAAGGAAGGCTTAAGTTTAATATCTAGAAAAAGTCCTTTGCCCAGAAAGTGGTTGAGCACTGTAATAGTTCTCCAGTGAGGTGGTCACCAGCACAAGCCTGACAGAGTTCAAGAAGCTTTTGGACAACGCTCTCAGGCACATGCTGTGGTTTCTGAGGTGTCCTGCACAGGGCCAGGAACTGGACTTGATCATCTTGATGGATGCCTACCAGCTCAGGGTGTTCTATGATCCTACAATTTGCTTGTTCCATGGCCATTGTCTTTCAAGAGCATCCAACTGTGGCAGAGAGAAACCTTAGTCAGGTTCTAAAGTAGGTAGATCATCAGCATGATGTGATAAATGAGACAAATGACATTTGCATATCTTAAGTGTCTGTTCAGGTCCTGCATGACACTTCCTATCTTAAAAAGGATTGTACTTCTAGGCCTCTGTATTTATTGTAACAGCTTCTGCTGTTTTGAGGGTTAAACCAGGATCCCATCTCCTTTGGGCAATTAAGGGTTAAAGAGTCCTGTCTTCACATAGTGCAGTTTCTTAACTTCTCTAGAAGATGAGAATATACTTTGTATAAAGCTTGATTGAGGAAGGGACAAAACTGCAATTTTAAGATACTTTTAAAATGTAATGGATTTCAGATGCCGTCCTATGAATTCTCTAGTATATTTGATTTTTGAATGTTTAATTTGCTAAGGGAACTGCTTCTTCCCTGGCATGAAAACACAATTATTAAAGCTCATTTCATTATTCTGAGACTGTTAGCACAATTTGGGTCATTGTTTAACACTCCACTGCTATGAAAACAATGAAATACTCTAATGATTAATAGGATTTGTTACTGTAAATAATCATGTTGAACCTCATTTGCACGACTTAGGCTCGTTACTTCCATGTGGCTAATGTATCTCTAGCTGTACATCCAGCTTTGGAAAGTTGCTACTCATCTGTAGACTGTCCTCTTTAACTGCTATGGGGACAAGAATTCTGCAATGTGGCGTCCACAGCTGTGTATTGCATCTCATCCCATCCTACTGCTACGAAAGGCATCCTCTGAGAGATTTTCTCCTGAACTTTTGTGATAACTTTTAGGTATTTTGTTCTTCACACTTGCATAGAATGGAAGCACATTCTATGCTAAGTCCAAACAGGGAGCAGGAGGACTTTGTTACCTAACATGGACAGTATCCTGCTGAGCCTCAGCCACAAATGAGTCCTTTCTGGCTGAGCCCACACAGCTGGAGAGAAATTTAGAAGTGGACAATGAAGCCTGAAAACAGCTCACAGCCCCTCCTGGGGATAAACCTTCCTCTTTCCTTTCCTGCTGCACCCACATTCTCCACTCTAAGCTGCAAGGAGTTCCAAATGGTCATAAAGGCAAAAACAACCCTCCCAACAGAGACTTCTGTATGGCTGTACAAAGAGCAAAGAACTTTCCCACAAGGACTACTCCTGTTTCTCTTGTGCCCACCTCCCCTCACCTCTGGCACTGCCAGGTCCCAGCGGTGCCTGTGATGAACCCCTGTGTGCTGAAGCTTTTGCTCACAGGCAGAAACTCACAGTGAAGCCCAGTTGCCCAACAAATACTGCAGCTGCTCTGCTGCACCCACACACACACAGCATTGTCATATGACTGTCTTCATGTATGTTATCACCTTCTCACTAAATAACAGCAGGAGTGGTTTCAGCTGGGAAGATTTTGACTCAAAAGGATTTTCTGTTGCCCCAGAGTGACCCGAACAGATGACATTCCTGGCAGGAAGCGCTGAAGCCCAATGATGAGCTCTCCTTGTTTCATGTGGTCCTTACCACTCATATCAACATTTACATGGACACAAGTTAGAGCAAAGAAATAGCAGTGGTTTGTAGAGACTGCTCTGCTGGATTTCAGCCACAGAGAAGTGCAGAGTTCATCTCTCTACAGATAAAAAGGTCAGCCTCTTCCCATGTTTTTATTCCCAGTGAAGGAATAACAGAAATGAAGACAGTTGTCAACAAATTCCTGTTCAGCTCTATTCTTCATCATAAATTCATACAAGCAGATGTAACAGATAGGAAAAAACAGAAACACATACATGTTCCGATGTGAAGGCAACCAGTCTGGGAATAGCTGCCATTCCTTTTTCTTTAACTTCTGGGAACATCTTGAAACGTGCAATCAACATAGCATACATGTTAGATATGGCACCACCTGGAGTCCACAGTAATATACTGTTACTTTTTCTATTCATTGTAATATCATTTCAGAACAAACAAGTCTTGCTATAGTTTTTCTATATATATGTCTCTGCCTTGTGGCAGAAACACAGATTCTTCTTCCTGATGTTCCTCACAGCTGGGCTGTGTAATAACAGGATCTACTACACACAAAAAAACACTTATGCAAAAAGTACCATTGCAAAAAATGACTGGTGCTTCCTTTCATCCTCATTCTAACTACCATCTCTCCTTCAGGCCCCAGTCTTAGCTTTCCATGTGCCATCAACACATAATCCCCACTCTATTCCATCTCCTAAGCAGATGCCCCCACAAGACAACTTCCTAAGGGATTTCAAAGTGTGACCTAATCTGTGATCTCCCCTCCTAAATCAGGGTAGGATTTCATGCCCCAGCTTTGAGCAAACCCACCCACTGAGACTCAACAGACTCAACACTATCTTCTGGATAAATGGAATGGGAAGAGGGAAGAGAAAGGAAAAAGGGGTCATTCTAACAAATATTTTTCATTTTAATTGTCCTCTGATGGGAACAAGGCAAAAAGATTAAATGTCCCTAACATTAACACTTGCCTTAAAAATCACTGGCATACATTCACTTGAAATAGCCATTTTAAGATGGGTATTTAACCCACTTCAAGATGGGTATCTGATCTACAGCTCTGCAGTGGCCTGTTTCTCCTTTTTGAGATTTTTTACACACTGAGTTTCTGTGTCTACAGTGGAGCAATATTTGGCTTTACAGTAATGCTGCATGAGCACTATGGGAATATAATGCAGTACTTGAGGCAGATGCTGAGAATTTTTACATTTGTATGCACACAAACACACACACAAACAGACATGTATACATGAAATCCATCAAGTTTATCCTAAATATATGTGTGTATATATATATACACACACACACACACAGATTGATTGTATATCCATGTTTATGCACATATATTTATATAAAGCAAAAGTTTTAAATGAACAGGTTGAAATGCTGGTGATGTAGAGTTCAACTATTGCAACATTCATCCATCTAAAAATGGAGTGAAGAGCACAAGATGTGCACCTCCAGAGGATGGTTAGCTCATCCTATGGCAGCTGTTTGTGGTAGGTGGATCTTGCCCTGCACACACATCCCCACTCTCCCTCGAATACACAGGAGCTGCTGTAACTAGCCCAGGGTAGACACCCAATACTTGGACAGCTTAAGTGAGATAAGATAAAATCCATCCTCTGAGAAGAAGGAGGCACTGTTGGTTATCTGTACTGGCAAATTAACATTGTTTTGACTTTTGTAAGATTTGTTTTAATCTCACTAGAGATATATACTGTTCCACAGCCCACACAACTGTGCCCTTCATGTCTAATCAGCATCCTAGCTCTGCTCTTGCAGCGAGGCTGCCCTGCTGTGGGCTTTCCCTGACCTCACTGGCCCTCCTGTGAATCCAAGGGAAAATGCCACAGAAGAATGGCATTGCTGGCATATGGGTCAGTACAGATTGGGGTTTTTCTTCCCCTTTCAACTATCTTGAGAGATATTAACCTATTTCAACACCTTTCTTTAGAAATGACAAAACAAGAAATGGAGAGATTAAGAGGAAATGCTCAGGTACCTGTCCCTAAAAAATGCAGGTGCCATGCAAGAGCTGCTAGTGATGATTTAGGTGACTGAACTAAGTTGAAGCAATTTGGCCTATCTTGTCCAAAGTCTTTGGCTCAGTGTCAAAAGAATCAAGACTGAAATGTTAAATTTCTTCAATACCAGGGTTTCCTATTAGTATTTATTACTCAGTCATTTAACCTTAGTTTATTCATAAGCCTGCATTCTACTTTTAATTTCGTAGTTGTGTTCACATGCACAGTTAATTGCAGCGACCCAAACACACCTAGAGAATTTGAAAAAATTTCTGAGAAAACAGTCAGGCTGTTATGCTTCACATGTATTGATACTGCATATTTCATTCCAGAGAATGCAGAGAGAAAGAACCTTTACTTTGCAACAGTAAGGTCTTCAGCTAAAGCCATGAACTGAGAAGACAGCACAGAAATTATTTTGATTATTGCCTAAAAAAGCAGAACTTGCACACTGAGTATTGCTGCCTTAACAGAGAAAATTATGAAGATGCACTTTGCACAAACCAGAAATTGCAGAGAAAGAAAGAAAGAATGAGAGGGGCGGCCCTGCCAATGCCAGCACAGGTACATGCTTGCCAGAGAGCCCGTTCCCACACAGGCTTCAGCTGGATGAAGTGAGCTCTGACACACCAGCAATGCCCTGGCCCCATGCCAGGCAGCATCCTCTGCAGCCCTGGCAGGGCCAGCAGCTCCTCCTGAGGCACACACCTTTCCTGACTCACGCTATCTCTATCTGAGTTTGCCAGACTCGGGCAGATCCGGCACACGTGCCGAGCCTTTCACCAGCCCGCTGCCGTGCCCTCCAGAGCCGGCTGGGCAGCACTGCCAGCGCTCTTCTCTCACCCTGCAGCCCCGTGGGAAGGTGAGGGACTAAGGGCAGCTGTACCCAGTCAGGTCAGGGTTGGTAACCAACCACCACTCAGTTTCCAAAAGCTTTCCCTTTGGTCCTGGGCTCGTGAGACACTCTTAGATGCCAGGTGTGATGTAGGCCAAGGCTTTCAGGGGGATCTCTAAGCATCACAGTAAAAGCTGTCAGAGCTTTTGCTCTCAGGCTTTTTAACTAAGAACTCGTGAAAAAGCAATGTCAGTTCTTCTCATCTATTTCTCTACATCTGTGGAAAGGGCCAGAATAAAACTCCCGCACCACTTCCCACATATGCATTCAGATGTGAGAAGCTGAAGACAAAGTGAAGCCTGACCTTCATGGCCTTGGAGAGCCGAATGTCCTGGGCTGTTATCAGTGAGGCCTTCCCTCTACTCAAGAGTGCACTCTTTCTCTCTCCATTAGGTCAACTAACTCCCCTTCCAGAAAGGCTCCTTCTGCAACAGTAACAGTCTGTTCTCTTTTGACAAGCCAAGATATTATACCCAATGTAAATTCTGTCATTATTTTGCAATTTTGTAAGATAGACAAGCCAAAATTTTTGAGCAATGAAATTACACAGTCAGAGAAGAGGTGACAAAGAGTATAAACCAGAAGACCAAGTGGAATGATTAAAAAAATAAAAGTCTTAACAATGTTTGTCAATGATTTTTCTACACTAACTTTTTTGCCTTACTGACTTGCCCTGAAGAAACCAGGTTTCTAAGCCTTTAAGCGCTCAGATTAACTAAGCACCCAAGTACCCCACTGAGAAAAACAGGTCAGCTTCACATGGAAAGCTAACATCATGCTCTAATGCTGGCAGGATCTTCCTGACTCTACTAAAATTGCTGGAAGGTATGCTACATCTTTCCCTGTTTGCTCCAATTTCCCCTGCGGTGGTGGAGAGCTTTGTTGTGTTTCTTCCCTCCGTTATTAACACAACAGCCTTTCTATTTCATGAATTCCATAAAAAGTGGGGGCACAGAAAAACTGCAAGGCAAATGTCTCTTCTCATTATGTTTCCCATGTGCCATTACAGCTGCTCATCATGCAGTGCAATTTGCTCAAACAGACCCTCATAATCACATCCCTGAAATTCATAAACATGCAATACTTTATCTCAAAGAGGCCACTGGTGTTTACTAGCAAGTGTCCTCTCAAACATGCATATTAATTATATTTACTCTTTAGCTGCAGGGGATGTCATAAACCACAGTCTGAAAAATAGAGAAAGCTTGAAATATCATGTACCAGGTGAAAATATCCCATCGCCACAGCCCCCTGGCCAGCCAACCATCTCTCTCATTTTCCTTAGTGTGACATATTCCAAAAGTACAAACACTGGAGCAATTTCATAGGTGAACCTGAAATGTAGTAATGGCCATATTTAATGCTTTCATCTACAAAACTAACACATCTTTTTCCAATATTACATTACATTATAGCCACAATATACTCTATCTTATACTGGGTAGAGTTCTGTTTCACAATACTTTCCACAGTCTTCTTTCTGATTTGACATCAAATGTCGGGAAGGAGAAATGCACGGAGTGCTGAAGAATCCATTTCCACCCACTTCAGTGAATAAAATCTTGCCCACCTCTTCCAGGTTCAAGGCTTTGCCCTTTATCCAAGAGATGCTGGGCAGAGCCCCTTTGCCTTGCACAAACCCATGTGCATGTCTAGAGGCACATGTCAGCAGTACTATTCATAATGGCCAGACAGTGCATGAAGCTAAGCAAGTACACAAAAATGCTTCCCAATCCCAAAGTGAAAAAAACCCCATACTTTAAATTCCACATCTCTTTCTTACAGAAAGCAATGACTTTCTGCTCCTGGTATGGATTATACATAACCCCTCTACAGGAATGTAACTGCTCACTCAGTACCCCTTTCATTTTACATATTTATGCATGCAAAATGCTAATCTGTATATATTTTTTGTGTGCTTTTGGGAGACAGCACAACCATCATCATATCACAATGATGAAATTTTATAAATGACAGCCTACAGGACAGCACCGAAAGTCTTTCTATAAATAACTGTTGCAACCATTTAAAAAGCAGATTATTTTTTCCCCAGCAATTTTAACATAAAATTATTCTTTCACTCAGATACAAGAACTAGTATTTTAGAGTATAATTATGAAATTACATTATATTAAACAAAAAAATCTTCTACTTACATGTTAGTATTTGCTGCTGATGTCAGCCAGTCTGCCGCCAATCCAACCATGTCCAACCCAGTTGAAAGTTGATTAAAATATCTAGGGTGCCCTGCATAAGATGAAAAATGTTATCAAAAGGCGGATGGCTCTGAATGAAACTATTCAGTGCTGAACAGTATATTTACCTCCATATTTCTATAGAGAAGGAAGCGCTTTCAAGGTATGAAACAAAGCAAATGGCAGTAAATACACTTCTCGAAAAAGGCAGGATAATTTCTCTTCTTTCTCATTCCAGAGTCAGTAAAATCAGAGTAATTATACTCAACACAGAATAATGAATTCCAACATTCCCTATTATCCTTTCAATATGCCTTGAAAATTAGCACATTGCTGCCTCACAAAAATAGCTGTTTGCTCCCGTTAGCGTGTCACATGTTGTCACTGGATGTGGTTTTGCCTGACTAGGTTTGAAAGGCACACATGAGACACCATCTGAAAAGCTTGCCAGGACATATAACATCAGTGATGAATGGCTAATGATTGCAATAGACAGGGCGAAATGAGAAAATGGAATATTTTGGTGACTGCTCTGCACATGACTCAAAGGCTGACGATTGTATGAAGATGGCAGGGAAGGTGGTGGTCCTTATCATTTCTTCACTGTCACAGTGCAATTACAAATAGCCTGGCTACTTGCAATTGTGATTTTAATCAAACACTATAAAAACAAGCAGCGCTGCCCCAGCAGAAAGATGCACAGGACTATATTCAGTGAGCTGATAGTCTCTTTACATGGTTAATATAATTGGCTCCTGTTTTTTTCTAAAATCCTCCTAGACATTTTCCTTAAAAACGTGCCTAGAGCCTTTAAACACAGGAAGCATTAAAATTCCATTTTTACTACATCCCACAAGCCCTTGATAAGTGGCATAATTACTGGTACAAATTATGAATAGTCCACAATTACTTAAATGCCATCCAATTCAAAGGACGGAAGCCTCTGCTTGGAAAACACCTGTCCTGACCCTTAGACGATGCACTGTTATTGTCATCACAGAAAACAAAAGATAGAGCAAGATGATTGAGGAAATGCAGACCCAGCACTGAGAGAAAACTTATCTTCGGTCTCCTGTGGCCTCTTATCAGGCGTGGACACATGGCTGGCAGAGCAGCACGGGGAATTGCTCCCCAGCTCCCACCCTGCAGCACACAAAGGCAGAGTAATCAAGCTGAGCAGGCAGATCAGAGCTGAGGATCTGGGGCAGGGGACACACGCACAAATTCCATTTGCCTGCGCCCTTAACCCAAGACCAGCCCTGTGCTATTGCCATCCAGCCTGATCGCATCTTGCACGGAGCTCCCCCTCCCAGTGACAGGAACTGCCACCTCTCCCTGGTCTGTGCTGCCAAAGACCTCCCTGGGCACTGAGGAATGACACTCAGATCCAGCAAAATGAACTGGATCTTCCTCCCTGCTCTTCGCGCTCTTGAGTGGGGTTGGTGGACTTAAGACACACGCACACCCCATCACCACCACCACCACAGCCACTGACATCCTGCTCCAGGGTCTCTGCCTGCAGAGAACTGCATCTCCCCTGACACAGGGATTTTGAAGGAGATTTCCATAATTTTAGCTTAGTTTCCGTATCACAGCTGGACAAATTTCACCTGAAAGCAACAGAAAATTAGGAGCTAAAAGCCTTTAGTGGATCAGGACTACAGGAAGACTCAAGGTTACAAACATTCCTGTTTTGGAAATAAATCCACACCGAAAAGCTGGGGAATAGCAGAATTTGTATCTGCAGCTGCAGCATCTCAGCGGCTCTCTGTCAGCCCCACACCCAGCCCAAGGCGACACCCTGTTGTCACTGCTGGATCCTTCAAGCACACCTCCCAGCACAGCACCTGCTTTGGCAGCGCCGCAGGAACAGGCCCGGGCGCACGCAGGGCTCGGGCAGCCGTGCCCCGGAGCGAGCAGCTCTGCATGGAGAGATGTCCGGACAGAGGGAGCAGCAGCTGCTGCTGCTGGGAGAGCCCCCAGCAGCCACACCTGCCACTCTGCCCCCTCCACCCCGTGCCCTTCCCTTCTGCAGCGCGGCCGTAACACGGAAGGACAGGGAATGCACTGCCCCAGCCTGACCCCTGCCCCAGCTGCAGGGGCTTGCCTGTCCATGTCACACCTCCCTGCCTGAGCGGGCTCTCTTCCCTTGGCTGGATGGCCATGGAAAACTGAGGCTTTGCTTAGAATACAGGCTCCATTGGACAGGGAAGAAGAGTTTGTGAGAGCTGCTCAAAATCTCTACCCGTGTACTCTTCCTGAAATACACATCCTTTGTTGAAGTTGCTCCTGAACAAAGAGGTACCGGAAAAGAGACTGACAGGGTGAAGAACTGGTCGAGAGGTGAAAATAGGAGATTATTACTTAATGGTTTGTTTAGCAATACACAATATATTCACAGATATCCCAGAGTAAACCCGGAAATGATGGCCAAGAACCAGGGCCAAGGCACAGGGACACCCGAGGCCGGGCTTTCCCCACTAAGGGCGTTGCCTCTGCCCCACACACCCTCCCAAACACACTCCCACCTGCACCGGCTTGAGGCACGGGCATGCCCGGCAGAACACCCGGGCTCCACAGCCCCCCCAGGGAAGCGACGAGAAGGGCAGGGCACGGCAGACAGCACGGATGAAGGCACGGCTGGCAGCACGGATGAAGGCACGGCTGGCAGCACGGATGAAGGCACGGCTGGCAGCACTGAGTCTGGCCGTGCCCGCAGCCTCACGGCGTGCACCGCCAGCACCGGCGCCTGCCAGGGAGCAAGGCTGGGCCAGAACCGGCTCCTCGCACTCCTACTGGAGTTTCCAAGCCATTTAAAAAAGCTCGTATTTCAATTCCCCTGCTCATTTTCAATTGTCCAGAGCACAGTAACTGAATTTCACACCCATCTTTCCCTGCATTCACAGTCACTGCTTTTCACATCCTCTCAGCAAGAATGCTGTCTTGCTGCTAAGGGGGCAGAAAGCGCGGCTTCCCCGGGCACCCCAGTGAGCCGTGGCACGCAGGCAACACCTAGCAGCAACCCACACCTGGCCCTCGGCCGAAAAATCAGCCATCTGCCAAGTCGAATCCCTGGACCTGGGTATCCAGCTGTGAGGCTAATGTAATACAATTTATTTTTCAATCAGCCTCCTGGGCCCCTGCAGCCAAACGCCGCCCAGGAGGGACCGTGTCCGAGGGGCTTCTGCGGCAGGAGCGGAGGCAGAGGCTGCCGCCAGAAACCTCACCATACTGTCCTTCCTCGGAGGGTAATTCCAGTGTTTTACTCCGAAGCACATGCCGGAGGACTCCAGGTGCAAACCCCACGCATTTCGTGACCCCGCTCCCAGGCTGGGGCTGTCACCCCAGCGTGCTGAGGAGCAGCAGCAGCCAAGCGAGGCGGCTCTGCACCCCCTGGGCTGAACCCTGCCACACCACCACGTTTCACAACACCCCCCAGCACCCGTTTTCAGACTTCAAAAACATCATTTTCATTAAAACAAATTATAAAATGCCAAGATGGGAAAGCCTCCGATATTTATAGAGAGGAAGAGAAATGGCAACATTGTTTTAAAGGGTCTTTTTTGGATTCACAAAATTAAATGGGTCTGTTATGTGAAAACAGGCCATAACAAAAAACGATTAATGAAAAACAGCTAAGAAACCCTATTTTCTGATTTCCCAGAATCACAGATCCCACATTCTTCATCATTTTGTGCAAACACATTTCCTATGCCCTGTCCAGACTGATCGACTTTGCTCCTGTGGCTATAATTTACCTAACTATTTAATCCAATATTTAACAAACATCTTGACAGCACCCGACCCATGCATCAAAACATGCGGATGGTCATTTCCACCCCTAAATGAGGAGGATTACACAGATCCCTCACAATCTTTACCAGGATCAGTCTGTTCTGTTCTCTTCTCAAAACCCGAGATTTTTTTTTGTTTTCCTCTCAACCTCTAGTCACAAATCAGCCTTTTGTCTCTTTCAGTAAACTGCTTCACATTTATTTTTAAGCAATTTCTCAGTATTCAAATTCCCACTAAGAGGTCTCCGGATTTCCTATTATTTCCCAATGACAGCCATAATTGCGGCTCCGGCTCCGCTTTCTGCATGCTCCGCCGCAGTTTAAGGTGGCCCCGGTGCGGAGTCGGGCGCTTCCCCACGCCTGGGCGAGCCCCGGGCTCCCTTCCTTCCCTCCACAAAGCCCACAGGGGGGCACGACTAACGGGGGATCCCAGGCAGGGAGGAGTCAACCCATCGCTGTGCTTTCCCCAGTGAGAAACAACAAATGCTTGTTAAAACAAATCGGACTTTGGTTTTATTGCTTGAGCCTAAAGTTGAAACTAAATCCTCGATATTTCTGTGTAAGGCTCTGCTAAATTCCCTTTTTATTTTATGTCTTGCAGGCGAAGTGACAGACACGGCAAATGGCCGCTCGGAGTTCGAATTTACAGGCCGTTTACTGTGATTTCGGCTGCTAAATGGGCTGGTCCCTGCTGCCCCCGTGCACAGAGCCCCCCTGCACCGAGCTCCGCGCCCGCCGCATCCCGCTCTGCGGGGAGCAAGAGGAATCGCGGGGCATCACACGAGGAATGATGAACAGGAACGGCAGAAAGTGGTGAAGGTGGTGCAGAGTCTGCTCAGTGGCACACTCGGCAACTCCGACGCACAGACGCATTAATTTTAAATCGGAAAGGTGTGCGAGGCCGCACTGACAGCTACAGAGATGGAGCTGCTGGAGTGTTTTATCATTTTGGAAAACGATTTCTGCCTCTGCTAGAAATTGCTTGGAGCTGACAAAATACAGTCGCTGCTTCAATCTTTATCGTTTCAAGCTAAATTGAAATGACACCTTTAATCAATGGATGAGACCATACAGGGTAGAAAATGAGCATTGCTATTACCTGTTTTAATTGCATACTTCAGAGTTGTTCTGCAGTTCAATAGAATTTCTTCCAAGGTCTGTGGCTGGTCTGCCAGTTCCCAGTTATATTCCTGGAGCAGCTCATTTGGGTAATGGAAATCAATAACTTTTGTTGATCTATCAAAACTTTTCACCACATACTGAAGTAAAATGTCCACAACATCTTGTAGGAAAGACATAGTAGTTATTTCTCCATTGCATGTCGGCAGAAGATCTGTGAATGGAGAAATTTAAAAGTTAACTTTGTTTTATGACCACATGCATAGATTCTGAACAAAGCCTTCTCCCATTTATGTTTACAAAATCTTTACAGTGTAGTCAATAAAAATAGGGTTTGTTTTCATTTAATAACCAAACTAGCAAGGTTGTATTTCGAGGATAACAAGATTTAATATCCTATCTAAATTCGCCATTTCTGTCCACAGTATATTTCAGACTAATTTTTAAGACAGCGAGAGCACAGAAACAAGACAAAAGGGAAAACGAATCTCACAGGAAATAAAGATTGAGCAACAAATGCTACAAGCAGCACCCTTAAAACGGTAATTTGCTTTGCAATAAAATACCTTCTTGGCGACTCTCCTATGCAAGTGACTTGTTGATAATTTAATGCCTTTTTCTGAGACAGTGCTGCACGGGGTCTTGGTGTACACAGAGCTTTTGTTTAAGAGCGATGGCTCAGTCAAAACCAGACTATAGTGGAAGCCCCTAATTTGGGATCTCGGGCTGCCGAGCAAACGGGAGAATCCTTGGCTAGCACATGTCGGCAGGGAGCTGGGATCTATTCACTGGAGGAGACGATACCTCCAAGGTCAGAAAAGATGAGGTGCAAAAATATCTCGAATTAAAGCAAATGAGTAGGAGAGCGCTCTATCTCCCTCCTCCCCTCCAACCTTAATTACATCGCAGGGTCTTCAATGAGAGGTCGATGCTTTCAGTGCTCCTTAGAGAGAAAAAGCTGCGGGCTCCAACACGCGGGATTTTACTGCTTTGGGTTTTTATTTTCGGGATTTTTTGTTGTTTGCGTGATTTTTCACAGATTTGAGAAATGCCCGGCGGGGGCCAGGGCTGAGGGCGCAGAGCTCCGCCGTGCACCGCCGGACCCCCCACGCCTCCTGCCCGACCCGGGCGGGGGCGATTTCCCGACCGAACCGCTGTTTTTTTCTTGCTAGTTTTAGAGAAGCAGCCTGCCCCGGGAGCGCCGTTACCTGTTGAGTGCAGAAATGCGTAATTCACGTCCGCTTTTTGACAACCGCAGGGTTTTTTGTCGCAGGTGCAGGTCGGCCTCGGCTCCGCTACCCCCGGGGCTGCTGCCCTGGCGCCGGTTTCCATAGGCTTCTCGGCATCTCCGTAGAGCAGGGCTTGACAGCGACACGGACACACGGCCTCATTACCGGGACATCGACCCTCGTCCCCCGCCCCCCCGGCCCGGGGCAGGTCCCGCGGAGCTCCGTGGGCGCGCAGCCGCGCCCCCGCCGCGGGCTACCGGGGCCTCCCTGCCCTTACCGCAGAGTTTGTTTCCGATCCCTCCCGTGAACTTCTGGGCAACCTGACACCAAGCTCTGGCTGGAAGAGAAAATCGAGTGGAGGGTCCGTGGGGCGGGAGCGGGCTGAGGGCGTCTCGCCCGACCCCCGGCCCCGCTCCCCAGGAACCGCCTGCCCCGCAGAGCCCCGCGGCGCCGGCCCGGGCTCGCGTCGCCGTCGGTGCCCGCCGCCGGCACCGCTTCGTCCCGCCGATCGAGCGGGGGGCTCCGGCGGCCGGGCAGAGCTGTCACGGCGGTTCCGTCGGGCCGGTCCCGCTCGGCGTCCTCCTACCTGTGCCGGGGGTCTCGGCGGCTGCGGAGCCCTCCTCGGCTCCGAAGGGCCAGAAGCCGGAGCCAGGGCTTGCCATGGCGGAGGCGAACCGGCGGGGCGGGCGAGGAGCGGCGATCTGCAGCCCAGGCGGCCCGAGCGAGTGTGCGTGAGTGCGAGTGTGCGGTGTGTAAGTGCGCGCGGCTGCGCCAGGCGGCGGCAGGCGGAGGGGCGGGAGCGCCCCGGGCACGCGTGGGTGGGAGCGTCTCCCGTGGGCGCCCCCGGGGCGCGCTCCGCCGAGCGGCTGCGGCCGCGCCCCGCAGCGCTGCTGCCCGGGACGGGACGGGCGGCTCCACGGGAAGGGGTGCCCGCTGAGGCGGCCAGCGGCGACGGCTGTTCTAAGGCGTGTTCGCACCCTGCTGCATCGGAGGAGCGAAGGGCGGCGGTGGGAGGACGGCAGCACTCGGGGCAGATCCGAGCTATAGGCGCTGCTTGAGATGGGGCTGCAGCTACCTCGGGGGCCGAAGGCGAGCCAGGGTGCCTGTGCCTTCTTCACCCTACCGACCGTCCGTGCGGCCGCAGCCCGGCGGGGCGGGCGGAGAGGGCTGAGCCGCCCGGTACCGCCGGGCGCTGAGCGGAGCGGTAGTTATCCAGGTCTTGGCGTAGGTGGCCGCGGTGGTCCAGCCTGGTACCTCGAGGGGAAGGTTAGGACTACGGGGAAGTGTCCTCAGTCCTTTAAGATTCAAAGCGAAGTGAAATCCCCCCACTACACATCCCACTTTTGCACCGGGGCACCTCTGCACTTGCGAGCCGGGCGCTCCTGGGCGGCGGCACCGAGGCCGGGCTAGCCCGTGCCCCCGGCGGTCCCGGGGTCGGGAAGAGACAGCCCCCGAGCCCCCTGCGTCCCATCGGCCCGGCCCACAGCCGCCGGCGGGAGCCCCGTCGGGCCGGGCGGCCGCGGAAAAGGCGCCGTGGAGGGGCCCGCAGGGGGCTGGGCTCCCGCTGTCCCTCCTGCTCCCGGGCAGGCAGGGGCGTGCTGGCTCCTACGGACGTGCTGGAGGAGCCTTGCGCGACGCCGCGGCTGCCCCCGCGCGTCCCTGGAGCCCCGGGGCGCTCCCGGGGGCTTCCTGCGACATTCCGGCTTGGGGACCCTGGTGGAACCGCCACCCTGGCTGCAGCCCCGAGGAGGCAGAGGGCCCGGCGGCCAGACGGGAAGAGCACGGGAACAACTGTTCCTATTCCCTTCACGACGTCTCTAAAGGCAACCAAACCTCGCTTTTCCACTCAGCCGGGTCTTCGCGGGAGCGTTTCCCTAACGCAGCTGCCTCTCCTCTGGCACAGGAGGGATTTCGAGCCCTGGCCTTGGAGGGAGGAAGGCGGGATCACACCAGGTGAGAATGTGGCTCTGCCGAGACAGCTGGTCACGCAGCCAGGCCCTGTGTTCAGCCCGGGGCATCTCTCTGTTTTTTGTAGGCACACACTCGGTTATAAGAAGTGCCCACCATGAGACCTCACAGAAATGGCTCCATGCTTTAAAACACTGCTGTGATGGGAAAGCAGAAGAAAACCAGTCCACGCATCTCTTCGTGTGAAATTACAGTCGGTTCCAGGTGCTGCATCACACTGGCTTGCACGCAGACAATAACTCCAGCTTTCCACGGCCAGAGGCTGCTGCGAGCCCTTCCCTGCCTTGCTCACTCATGCCCCAGTCCACAGTGTTTTGTCGGTTCTGGATGTAATTCAGACACAATCAACTGTATCACTGCTTTGTACATTTTTATTTACCATTTCATTGATACATGACAAAGAAACTTTAGAACAGATTTCAGAATTTTAACAATTTATAGCAAATTTTACATTGCAGTACGTTTTAATCCGGTGCACAGCCTTGTAACTAGTTAGAGATCGGGAAGCGATGATTATCTGTCTCTGGGGAAAAGGCCAAAACCCAGCCCCTGTGGCTGACTGCTGCCACCAATTGTGACATTTAGGAGGGCTGAGGAACTGGGTAGGATCAGGCCTTTATGCTGGCATCATGAAATTTGCCTTCTCTTGCTTTGCAGCTGGGAACATGCAATTATGAATCCTGAAAGGAAGCGCTGCAATTATCTGTGTGGTTTCTGTGAAATAAGGTCTTTTGAATACGGAATCAGGGGGAAATTTGAACACTGGGGCTATTGCTTTTATTTTCATTTAATTTCTAGTGGAACTGATTAAGAATGATCATTACATTTCAGCAGCAATCAACCAGAGAGTGTATTTCTATTCCTTTCTTGGTACCCCAGAGATTAAGATTCCTAAAAATCTAATGCAAATGAGAACAAAGCAAACATGATTTAGAAGTTCATCACTTAGTCACAAAGCTCAGAGGCAGAGGAGAGGGCTGGATATAGTTCCCATAAATGGACATCTCCAACATAAAGATTATACACACAATATTGACCTTTAAAACTGGCTACTAGCTTTACAGTAAAGTCAATAATGAAATAAATTGCCATAGTATGCTATCCCATTAATCGTATATGTTTTCATTAGAGGAACACTTGTGACAAATAGGTCATCCCAAAATTTAAGCAATGTAAACTAATATAAGTAGAAATTCCCCCATGGTGTTCTTATAATATTTTTTGCCTGTAAAACAATTTATTAGAAACAATAACTAAGGTTTTCTGAAGGTGAATATGGAAATTAGAAAGCTTAGCTAGGGAACTATAAAGTAAATTATTATTTTGATTGGATGAGACTGATGAAATGGAAAAAAAGAAATATGCACTGATGAAAGTAAACTAGACTTAAGCTGTTTAATAATTTTAGGATGTAGCAATGGTACATGAAAGAAAGCTGATTTTTTTATTAGGGAAGAATAGGATATGTGACTGACAGTGTCCCTTTGCAATGGTGTTGGGCTGTAAACCACAGTAATTCATATTCACATGAACACACACATAAACTTGAAACATTGAAGATTAAAAAAAAAAAAAAGGAAACACATGGTATAAAATGATAAAAAAAATTTATGCAAATAAAAGCCAAATGGCAGCAGGAGCAGCAGCAGCAGCTAGAACTGCTGGATAAGGCGCCGGCGCTGTGAGGTCTTCCGCAGCAGTCGTCTGTAGTCATAGGGATTATCTTCGGCTTTGCTCTCTTCCAGGGGTCTTTCTGCAACCCTCGACCTAGGGATTAAGCACAGAAGTGTTTTAGAAATTAAAGTCAAAACATTTACCTTGGCAAACACTCCTAATCGACTGCTTAACCTCCACCCTTGTGGGGGAAAAATAAAAGGAGAAAGAAAAAAAATCAGCTGACTTTGCTAGGCCTCTTCCTGTGCTGCACAAAACAGGCACCTCGGAACAAACACATTATATGCTAGAAGCAGATGAACACAGAAGAACAACATGTTCTCCTATGAAGGGGACATAATGAAAGGACATAAAAACGTTGAGAGCATGGGGATGCTTTGCAGTAGCATTTGCCTGATGGTTACTGCGCCAGGTTTTCAGCTGGCATAAATTTGTTTGCTCTGTATTTAACCTGCCTGTGGAGTTCACTGTAAGTGTCCATCTCATTTCATTTTATTTTCAGATGGCAAGATGCATTTTGGATGCCACCTCTGACAGGCTGGAATAGTGATGTGGCATCAGCTGTTACCATGGAGCAAGACTGCAAATAAAAGACAGTTATTTAAAAAGTAAATTACTCTGAAATAATTACAAAAATTTGTAGTGTTCTACACTTAAGATGCCCTCACCACTGGTGCTATACCAATGTCGAAGGTAAACTGCTAAATAAAAACTACTCAATGCTTCAATTCTTGAAGTAGATTGAAATGGCTGTACAGTCTTTATATCCTGGTGACCCTATTCAAGAGATACTGAAGTGCAGAAGTGTTTATTAATTGCATTCATCTGCCCTCTGAGATAACTGTAAATTTAGAAGTTACACATATTTTTTTTCACTATGGCTTCTTAGGCTGCAATTAGACAGCAAAGAGTAAGAAATTTGATTTAGTAAGCTCAGTAGCAAAACTTTCGCTCACCTAAACCAGACCTCAGGGTGACAGATTTGGTGTAATTAACCACCTTAGAAATGGAACATTTTCTCATGGTTGTAAACTATATGGTAATTCCCTGATACTACTACTTTTAATTACACATCTTCACTTTCCTGAAACTAATTTAGATCCTATGTGAAAAAAAGGCCAGAAATGAAATACATAACGTGCACAAAACATTCTACATTCTGAATGTCCTACAAACATTTCCTCTATTACTACAGATGTGTTTTCAAATTCAGTGCTCAAATCCCAGGCTTAGCATTTCCCTTAAGACTTTGACCTAGATAGTTTCCCAAGCTTTTCTTACACTTAGGAACATGCAAGAAGATACAAAGACATTAAGATACATAGATGTATGTTTGCATGTGCAGTGTGTGTGAGTGCACTGGCAAGAGTGAGAATATGAATTTCCTTAGTCTGGCAGTGGTCACCCTCTATGAAGTTCTATGTGGGAAGAGAGAAGGTCAAGAAACCCTCCCTTTGGGGTTTTTCTCCTGGCTGTCCACCTTGATGAGGTACATGCAGGCTACAGAAACATCTGCTGCTACAGGACAGCAGGAGAAGGAGGCAGTCAAGCTGGAGTCCTACCTGCAGAAAACATGCAGAAAGTCTGGTGCACGTCCACCCTGTTTAAAACCTAACTAATCAGAAATACAGTTTTTAGGTTCTGCTTCAGTTTAATTTTATTTTAGATCAGAGATGCAGAATGTCTGTCCATCTGGCCCTTGGGAAACCAAAAACTGGCAGGTAGGCTGAACACCAATCACTGGAATTTATCCCTCTTGTACGGGGAATATATCAGATATTCCCATTTTGAGATGGGAAATTTTAGCTATATGTTTTGTACGATAGTTCAGCAAAATTTTATGTCTAAATTAATAGATTTATGTGTAATTTGAAAGTATGTTTATTTTTATTAATATTTTGAATATGTCAACAAGGATAATATTTATTTTTTCCTGTTACTATTTTGTCTGAATTACCTCTCAGTAGCTCGTAAAATGGAAGTCCTGCGCTCAACTGGGTATCTCTTCCTTCTTGTGGTAGTACTGCTGTCCTTGGAGCTGGAGTCAGTAGATGAAATTTCTTGGTAGTAGATATCTAAATCTAGCACTTTGCTCAGACTGTCAATAAATAAGAACACTAAGTTAACAGTTTCACTTTCCAATGCTGTATATTTTCAGCATACAAACCCAAGGCAGCCAAATATCATTATTCTGTTTATGTGCTGAGGATCTGAGTAAAAATATATAAAGGCACAAAAAATCAGTGTCTGAAGTATGGCTGCTGTACAACATAGATACTGAGATTTTTGAAATGCTAAATACTTTTATATATTCATAAAGGAGACACAACTGAAATTTTTGGGGTTTGCCATTAGACTTAGTGAAGAGGCATTTTTATGGTATAATTATTCTGGTCTATTTTAGATATCTCTTTGAGCAAGAGATGAATAATTTTCCTAAATGTGACTATGTTTTTCTCTGAGTACAAGAACACAGTGTAAATCAACTAGTTCAGATATGGGTGTCAATAATGCAGATATCTCTTATTTTGTTAGGTGAATGCTATCCAGGGTATTATACATGCAGAAAAAAATCAATCCCAACATCCATTTTAGAATGGCTAACGAAAGAAATAATATCCTAAAAAGAAACTGAACAGAGAAGTTCAGAATTCAATCCTCATGTTGTTGGAAACCAGAAGTAATTAATTGATTTTACTTGCTGTGTTCCACTAATACAGAGTCAGCACATGAGAGAAGATGCAGTCAGGGAACTGGTTAACTTGATTTAAGATGAGTGAAACCTAACTGAGGCAAATGAGAGAAAACACTTTTTTCCCCTAGACTGGATTCAATAGGTGTGAAATTTTTTTAGGATCCAAATGACATGAGAAAAAAAGCTGAAAGAGACCAAATGTGGGGGACATGGACATAGGGTCAATCCTTTAAGCTGCGGCATAATCAAGTGCAATTTAAACTGTGCTTGAATAAAGCTCAATGCTGTGAGCATATTTTATATAAATGTAATGTCATGCAACATTCTCTAAGATACATATTTTAGCTGCAGAATTTGTATTCTGCAACAGTTAGTACTGAGCCGAGGACAGTGCAGAGAGCCCGTTCATCTGGCAGCTATGAGCAGGCTGCCACAGCAGTGCCTCAGTACAGAAACACAAATAAAATAAAACTAGGATGTATGTCAGGAGCTGCAAACCAGGTCTGCAGCACACATAAGGATCTAAGATATGGAAGTACAGAATATACCTATTGCTTCCTTATTTTCTGCAGAGATCCATCAAAATAGCCTGGTTACACTGGGAAGAAAACACTTCTGGTTCAAATTTCAATGGCTACTCTTCTTTAGCTGTTATTTAGTGATTGTTTTAATTTTTTATTATCTATTTTCAGACACTCATATATTTTTAGGATAAAATTTTGACAGTCTTTGTATTTTTGCTGACAAAAAAGAACTGGTTGCCCATTTGCTTTGACTAGAATTTTAAGCACCTTCAATTATTTTCTGTGTCAGAACTATCTTTGATGTGGACCTTATCTTATTATAATGCCTGTGTTACCATGGTAAAAGACCATGTTTTAGGAAAACTGAATGGCTGAATTCTATAATGGATTTTAGTAAATGAAAATTGCATTTTAACTTTGTATACATGTCCCCCTTTGAATCACCAAATTACCATTCTTTTTTCAATGCTTTATTCTCCTGGTTGAAGTACAGCTAAAAACTATTCTAGAGTACTGGAGTGACAATAGTGAAATAGTGAAAATAATTACCTTTCTTTCCTTGGTTTCCGTTTTTCATCCTGTATTGATTTCTAAGAAAATAAAAAGTAATTAAACTATTAAAAGGAAAGCTTATGCAAACATATAATTCATTGGTGTTAAGTAGGAGAATGTTGTATATTTTTCAGTTAAAAAATGATAAAAAATGAGCAAATATCCCAGAAAATCCTATTTTAAGAACCTTTAAGACTACGAATGAGATTACCATTGTTGCTCCCCAATTTGTTGCCATACTGTGAAAAAAAAGCCGAAGTAATGATGATCAGAACAGAAAAAGGAGATCTAAAACTTTCAAATAGCTATAGCTGTTTTAATGAAGTTGACAACACTGTCTCACTGAGGCAAATTTACTGTGATGCCAAGAGAATTTCCATGAGTAGAAGCAATGCAGTAGTAAGAGGCATAATCCTATTCTCATTAATGCCAACATAGTCTTCACACAGGTTTAGTAGAATAAAATGGACAAAGGCCCTATTTGAAAACAATATAACAGTTGACAAAAGAACCTTTAGGATAAAAGATTTCTAAAAATGTAGAGGAGAGAAGATTTATAGGGAATGTGAATAATTTCTTATCTCTAATAGAGTTCTATCCCTACAGCCAAAACAACGCTATGTTGCATCACCTAACACATCATACTTCAAAGGCAGTATTTTTTAGTGCAGATTGTGGTCTTAATTGTGTTTCTTGTAAATGAGTGAATGTGTATTAGAACTAGGGACTGTAAAGTTACTGAGAGTCAGAAATCCTGATGGACTTCAGTATGCAGGCAAATGAACATGGCATATAATTCCAAAATGACAGGCTGATTTAAAGAAATATACCCCAAAATAAAATTCTCATGCCTGATATGAACAGTGGGCTACTGTCAGGCTTCATTTATACCTGTATACCCCTGCAGGTCATCTGATAGGCAAGGAGATGTGTGAGAATGCAAGGTGTCTAATTAATGTTTGTAGCATGATGTGAGAGAAGTACCTGATTTTGCAAAAGATAGAGAATTTGAAAAAAAAATGCACTCATATTGTGTTTCTTCACATTCATATGATCTGGGCTTGATAATAATCTGTGAATGACCTCTGACGGTCACAGAGATTTTTAATAAGGTAGAAAATCTGTAATAGCTGGGAAAGCTGACTGCCCTCTAAAGCTGACTGTCATCTAAAGTTAGAGCCTAATGACTTACCCAAGGTCTAAGAATTTAACAACTGGTAGGTCTCCTTTCTAAGCTTCAGTGTATAGATATTTATGTTGAACCTTTTCCTGACCAGTGAACTTCATGTCAGAAAGACATGTTTCTTTTTTTCACACCTTCTTGAAAATATAACTCATCAAAGGTAATATTGATTAATACCTTGAAAAACTGCTGCTAAAAAATTGATTAAAAATCTCCTGGCACTACTGCAGGTTTTGTTTGCCCTGATGCCATGGCTGTTTTCTGGTACGGAGCTGGCCATGTAACAAATTAGCTCTCAGAAAATACTGTATTCCTGAAATTATGGTCTTAATTTCCTAAATAGGCATTTACTTCAGAATTTTGCTTCTCAAAAATTTCTGAATACAGATTGTGTCATGCCTTTCAATTCAGTCCTTTATCTCACCATTCTCACTTTCACAAAACAAATTTTATTCTTACGTGCAAGTTTATTTTTAAGAATGAAATTTCTTTTCAGAATATCACCGTTCCAAAGCTGTGTTATTTCAAAGTCCCAGAATAAAACATAGCTGTATTTGTGGTTTTTTTTGGTATGCCAGACACAACCATCCTTACAGGCCCTTGTGACACCTTCTGTTGAAAGGAGAAGCAATTGCTACGGTTAGTTTATTAGCTGGGTTCTGACTGGCTGTTAAAATAGGTCACTAAGATACAGGCACCTCGAGCAAATCAGTTTAATTGCTTTTTTTGTTGGAAGTGCTTTCTGAGCTGCTTTTACATTTTCACTCTTTCTGCTTACCTTCTTGCCTTTTTTCCTATGTTTAAGGGCAGTGAAGTCAAGAGGGGAAAGCAGCACTCGGTATCTGAACTTGGACCAAAGGCTATATATAGCGACACTCAAATCCATTAGTCCCCTGAGCTGCTGGTGTTTGCCAATGCCTTCATAATCACAATCTGACACATTTGTAAAGGAAGTTACAGTGTGCATACTAATACAACTTATTTTAGTATTTGCTCTCTCTGCAAGATCAAGTACTAATTTAGATGCTCAAAATAGCTCCAAACAAACCTGTGCCTCTCCTGGTTCTCTCCTGTGACTTACAAAGAAACAATGGAGACAGGGCACTTGATTTGGGTATTGAAAATGCAAATGCTACTTATGCCCATAATGAAAGTGTGTTTAGGTACAAAAGTAAATACTAGTCTGACATAGCTCCCCAGTCTGGGTAACTGTACTTCCATTTCAAGTCTTGTTTGAAATTTGAAGATTGTGGCCTGCCTCCTTTCAGCAGGACACAGGTTTTATGCTGCATTAGAAAAGAATAATGGGAATTGGGCAATGAGAAAGATAGTTTAGGTGGGAATTATCTGACAGTTTTAACCCAGAAAAGATTCTTAAACTCACATGTATCAGAGTGTAGTAGGTGGAGTCTTCTGGATTATTTAATGTCTTGGGCTTCCGTGGCCTTCTGGGGGGTCTCTGCATTGGGCGAGAGTCTTCTACTTTGGCCACAACTGTAAAAAAGCAGAAGACAGCAATGCTTATTTCTTCACAGAATTGGAGGCTTTTGGAAAAAAACCAGGAGAGTATTTCACCAAAGGGAGAAAAAAATCCACATAGTCACTTTTACTTCTTGCAGTCATTCAAGTAAGCAACTGGTTTGGACATTTTCATCAGCAGAGAATGGGTTTATCCATTTAAGTCCTGACTGCCCACAGGGACAAATGCCACATAATGAATGCCAGGCTGGAACAGCCCAGAGGTCTGCCTGGCACAGCCTCTCCTTCTGAAAAGGGCTGATGCTCCACATTCAGAAAAGGGCTTTGAAGGGAAATGGCTACTGTGAGCCTTGTAATGGGGACCTGTGTGGCAGGAGTGATGTTTTTTCAGACTTGAGTCAATCTTTAAGGTGCTGAATGAGGGAACTAGCATTAGGCCTCTGTTTCAGAGGTTGTCCTCTACATTATCACAGTGAAGATTTTCCTTCAGGTATCCTGCTGAGGCTTTTCATTTCAAGCCAAATCATGTGTCACTGGGCAACACAGCATGACCATGTCCATCACATCCAGTGCAGTCTATGTTAGTGTACTCAAATTCTGGTCTCTATTTCTACAAAAAACTTTTTACAAACTTGAAAAATGCCTTCACTCTAATAGAAATTAAATCAAGATTTTAACACAAAATGTAACTACTGTCCCCTGGCAGTCTCCTAATTCAGAGTTAGACACTGACTTGCAGATTACATTGGCTGGCACATAGAGAACTAGAAATATATCTTGGGTATTTGCTTGTTGAAAATCTATATGCAATTCTGGCAGAGCTAAGATACAGAGCTGCTGGGCTCATAGGTAGTTTGTCATAGAGACAACACTGAGTGCAGGGTTCCTGATGCCTAGGAAGACCACAGAACTGGCCCTGGAGGGACAAGAGACCACAAATGTACAGCCTGGTAAGCCTGGTCTCTTTCCCTTCAGCTTCAGCTATAGGAAATGTTAATGGCAACAGCAATTCCTTCATGAGGAAGGGGAAGGGGATGCACAGCAGCAGAACACCAATGGCAGAGATGGGTCATGGGTGGTGAATGAAGTCACCGCACAGGGAACAAACAGAGTGTCTAAGGTATCATCCAGTGAGGTTTGATCTTGTCCTAGTCCCATCACAAATATACTAAGGACAGTCCAAGAGAAAAAAAACGTCTCCTCATTCATAAATGAATATAGTGTGAGGTTGGAACAGGGATCTAGATCCCAGTGAATTACTAAAATGTGTTTTGCTGATACAATCAACTTCCACATGAAGTGACTTTAACACCATTTTGTTCCCCTATGACCATCAAAAACCCTTTTACATGATAGAAATTAAAACTCTCCCATGTACAGCAGACATATTTTTAATTAAGGGTAAGGTAGCACAATAATTTAAAATGAGAAATGATCAGTAATACATCAGTGTTGACTCCTGCAAAATTAGCTGTTTAAGTTTTTTGTTATGTGTGATAAATAAAGGCTTGTAAAGGTCATGGGTGTACAGAGAAGCCAGGATGAATAATGTTAATTTAAATTGTAGTCGGATAATAATTACATTTACTGTTTTAGTTTCTTATCTGAAGTGCAGACTGCTTCTTCTGTAATGAATGAACAAGTATCTTTTTAACATTTTGCACCTAAGAGAACAATGGTGTTTTTCTAAGCCAGGTTACAGATAATACATGTTAAACAATGAATTTCAGATGCAGTAAATTCATTTCAGTAACCTGTATTCAATAAAAGTGAGATTTCTTGATTTCAATAGGTACAGCAGGCTTGACTGGGCTCTTAATGTGGGTTGTTGCTACCTTGCTGTATTTCAAATGGGCCACCTGGAGTTATCTGACTTTCCATTTGTTTGAGAGAAGAGGCATATCTTCCCTATTTTATTTTTAAACAAAATAGGAGTCCAAGGTGGAAACACTGCCTTAAAAAAATCCCTTAAAATTCAATGCTGTCGAATAGAAGAACCTAATTCTCTGTCTGTAGGACATTCAAAAATTTTGTCAGAGATCATGACTGCATGAAAATCTGAAAAAAGAAATGAAGCCAGTTCGGGGGCTCTAGGAAAATCCCAATGAAAAGGCTCTCATTATGCCTTAAGAGTTTTTACTGTCCCCTAAGAATTCATCACTGTGTATGCTGTTACATTATTTAATTCATCAATGTCAAACAGATAAAGCATTATTGTAATTCTAGATTACAATTATTCCAACTGAAATTACTTGTATACTTCTCCTGTGTGTGCTCTGCAAAGAAGACTGCTTTATACATTCAAAAATTACCATTTTGACAATGATAAAGGTTTCAGTAAAAAAAAAGCTTTTCATCTCAGCTCTTGTGTTGTACACATGTGTAAGCTGTGCACAAGAATGGAGGAGAAAGAAATGCCATGTCGGGGCAGGCAGCCTTCTAAGCTTGGACCTCCATCATTCCTTTTTAAAACTGAATATAGGACTGAAAATGCATTTCTGAGTTTTGCCTGCAAATTACACAGTAAGGTTTTGCTTTCTTTGTTTTACCAGAAAGTGAAGCTGTGAGTTCCTTTTGCAGTTAGATTTGCACGTTCACTGCTGCTGAAATTCAGCAGATGTGGTAGCGACTTGCATGGTAGCTACCATTCCCACAGTAGCTGTTGAAGTGCTTTGGAAGAGCCAGGTTGGCACTACCACCCCAATCCTATTAGAAGGGTAAATAAGATGCACAAAGACACATGGAGACTTCCTTAAGGCTACATCCCAGTTAGTCATTAGCAGAGCTAAGGACTGGAGGGCTGTGCTGAGGCTCCCATCTCTGCTGCCAGCACACACCTTGCTGTTGTAGCCACCTGAAGAGGTGCTGTCAGTGCTGGGACACACCCTTTAAGAGCAATGTGTAGGAGAAACTGGAAACTTTGATGTGACACAGACATTCCCTAAAGATTTATCAGGAGGAAGACAGATTGAATAGCAGGTTGAAATGGGGGGTTTTCCTCCTCAGATTTTCCAAGTGCATCGAGTCAGTAGTTGGTTAGAATAAAAAAAAAAAAAATTAAACCAGTGATGATAATAAAAGTTGAAGTTCTTCTCCATGAGAATAAATGAAATACAGAGTTAAGGGTTAGGAAAGGCATGTGAACAGTGTGGCTGCCAGATAACATTCAAGAAGGTTTAGTAAATCTAAGAAAAAATTCTTTATTCATAACAGTATCTCAGCTAGCTCATTCAGGACTACCACAAAAGTTCCTACCTAAGTTGCACACACACTCAATTCTACAACAAATGAATACTTTCATACTCAGCCCTCACTGAAAGCTCCAAATAGGCTGAAATGTGTATACAAAATGTATGTGTATCCTGAACACCATCACAAACTACATGAACTGAGGAGAGCTGAATGTGCTTGAAATGTTCAAGGATGAGCAAAAACATGAATAAAGATGAGTCAGTATCAACAGCCCTTTAGGTTGAACTGTCTGTACATTCTGACATACAATGATAAGCTTGGAAGACAGCAATCTTGAGGAATCAACATCTGTGAAGCCTAATGTAAATTAACTATGACTTACAATAGATCTCATACTGAAGACTGGAGAAATAGTGGTTACAGCTGTGATAAATATCTAAGGGACCAAAGGTCTCTATTTATTAAGCCACCTGGAGAAACAAAGCCATCTTCACGTCATTTAAGTGAAATGTTACATGCTTGATTTAGAGCTGTTCCACATCTTATGGAGACAGAAGTATAAAGCCAGGCTCAGAATTAAGCAGAAAGGAAAACAAAAGGAAAAACAGTAATTGTATAGGTTTTGTAGAGGGAGTTGAAAGTAATCAGTAAAAACAGAAATACAGCAACTGGAATTCCAGGACTTGATAATGAGAAGCTAATAGTTGTTACTGCTTACAACATTTATGTGCATACCTTTTTACAGTTCTAATTGTACACAGCATGAGGATGCAACTACTCAAGTTTGGAATTTGCACTGAGAAAAGCACTGCTTTTCAACATTTTGCTTAGTAACTTTTAGGTATTTTTAATTGATGGGATGTTTAACGCAGCCAGATTTGGAAATTACAGCTGATGGCTGCAAATGCTTAGCAATCTGGAAAAAACCAGAGGAATTACTTCTGGCACAGACCTAGAAGTAGAAACTGCAAGAGACTGAGAACTTTGAGCCTTTGAGTTTGTGTACAGCAGAGGTTGGCAGTGTTTGATCTCTCACACCTAAGTCCCACAGCCCCACTGAGGGAAGCAGTTTCAGTCTCTGGCTGACACTAATACAGAATGACAGAATAATAAACATTGGAAAAGACCTCTAAGATCATCAAGTCCAGCCTTGACCACCTTGCCAGGTAGACCATGGCATGAAGTACCATGTCCTGCTCTTTCTTAAGCACCTCCAAGGATGGTGACTCTACCACTTCCCTGGGAAATCCATTCCAGTGCTTAACCCTTTTAGTGAAGAAATACCTCCTGATGTCCAGCCTGAACCTCCCTGGTGCAGCTGGAGGCCATATCTTCTTGTCCTGTCTCCAGCTGCCTGGAAGAAGAGCCCAAACCTCTCCTGGCTGCAACCTCCTTTCAGGCAGTTGTAGAGAGTGATAAGGTCACCCCTGAGCCTCCTCTTCTCCAGGCTAAATTCCCCCAGCTCCCTCAGCTGCTCCTTATTGGACTTGTGCTCCAGACCCTTCAACAGCTTTGTTGCCCTCCTCTGGACTTGCTCCAGCACCTCTCATTTCTCTGAGTGTGGTGACCTGGGATTACTGTTTTTTAAGAGAGGATATTTAATGGAAATGGCTGTATTCCATTTCCACAATCTCCCAGACCTTGTGCTCTGCCATGGATCTGAGCAACTCCCAACACAGATCTTCTACATCCTGACTGTGTGGTGCCCAAAGGACCACTCCTGTAGCTTAGAGCCACCAGCCAGCAGTGCTTGCCTACCATTTTTCTCCAGTCCCACATCTCAGGGCTCCCTGGCTGACTACTCACTTGCAAGGAAATTCAGCTGGTGTATACTGCTCTGCTCAGCCAGTGCTACACATGCTCCCTTTCCCTTGCAAAGCCTACCCATTAAATTCCTGTAAATAGTGCTTTGACAGCCTACAGCAGGAGGAATCCTGGATGAAAACCCTGCTTGTCTCATTGCCTCATTTAGGTGAAAATGTCCTCAGCTGCATCATTCCTCAGGGTTCCTCATATCACGTAAATTTAATTCTAAATATAGAAAATTCTTTTCCTGAGATTTTGTACTTGAACTGTCATTTAATAAGTAGAGGGTTGAGCACTATGATTCATCTGAAAAAAAAGGAAAAAATTCCCTCCCAAAATGATCAAATTCCCCTCACTTCAGGCTTTGATCTCAAAAAACTTGACAGCAGTCATTTGTGCATCTGTTCTGACACCACAGCAACCCAAGGCTCACTAGCAGTCCAAGGGTGCAGTTCTGGGGTGCAGCCATTACATTTGGCTGAAAGCATGTAAGAAGCAAATACAACCTACTCAGAGATTCTAGCCACAGGGAATTTGGTTTTTTCCAGGAACCTTGTGCGGCTTGCCTTCTGCATTTTATAAAAACAAAGAAACTCATTTAAGAACAACTTAACCTTGCGGATTTAAGATTAAATTAACCTTTTGCTCAGATGTTCTTTGAACTGCAAGATTTGCATTTTTATCAAAAACAAACAAACAAGCAAACCATTTAAAAAATGTGACCATTTGTCACAGTATGCCATCAGCTGTCCCCTCAGTTCCTCCCTTCTATGGGTAGCAGATGTAATAAAATATTTTATCAGAGGAAGTGGTAAATTGTGTTACTGCACAATGGCCACCTACCTACAGACAAAGGCAGCCAAGCTCTCCTATCTATTGTATAAAATACAATTCATGTGCAATTCATTCTCTAAAACAACATATATAACTAGTGAAGCTGATGAAAAAGTGTAAATAAATGTAAATGATCAGTGTAATTACAAATAGGTAAATGCCATATGATTTAAAGAACACCTAAAGCTCAACAATCCCTGCCTTCATAAGAGTAGGACAGCAAAAGCAGGCATAGAGGGAAAGCTGCAGTAAAAGCATATCCTTCTGTAAATGAGTGTGTATAAATCCTACTGTAACACATAATGTAGGCAAGTAGACAGGAAGGTTCCTGCCTGTTAATAAGGCAGTGGACCACCTCATCTACCTGCTTCACTTTAGTATGACCATCTGCAGGACCTTACCTCAAATCTTTGGGGGTTTTGTAGATATTTTACTGTATTGCATAGTATTTTTAATTTCTCAGGTTTATCTTGTCAAAAAAAAAAAAATCAGCAGTATTTAGTAGAGAACTCAATATAAGACCATTAATGACAATCACAAACCTTGCTCTGTCTTTAATGAAAGGTCATGTCACTTAGTTTTCCATTTCCCATTTCTTTTCTCTTGCAGACTTTAGTCTTGGAAACAGGCAGAACTACGCAGATTACCTACCAGCAGCCGGTTTACACTTAGAGGGGTAAACACCAAGCCCTCATTTTAGCAGCTTGCCCATTTGAGAGGACTCCAAGGCGGGATTGAAGTACTTTTAAGATCGTTTCAATGTAGTCATGGGAACAGAAAGAAGTTTCATCACACATGACAACTGAATCCACAATGTTATAATGAAAATAGCTCAACTAGCTCTGGGCAGTGAGAGACAGTCCTAGATCTTATTCCAACTCTTCCCCAGAGGCAGCGCAGTGAGCTCACACAAGCCCTGCCACACAAACGGAGACACAGCCCTCCATTATCTGCCACATCTGCCCTCATCCTCCACATCTGCAGCCCAGGACATGAACTGAGAAATTTCCCTGTTACATCTATTCCAACAGAAGAGGTCTGAGCAGCTCAGTCAGTTCTTTGGGGTCCTTTTGGTGGAACTCAGGTCTTAATGATCTGCATGCTCAGAATTCCATGTCCTCTTTATTCTCCCAGTACTCTTCCCAACTGCCACCCAAGCTGCTCCAAGCATGTTGGCATTTTGGGAACCTTCACTGCCCATGTTAACCAGAATATAAATAACTCTGGAGTGTATTTCTAGAGATCACACCCTCTTAAATGTGTGAGTTTAATGGATGCTGAATATTAATAGAACTTTACATGCAATTACAATTCATGCAATACGTGCAACATACCCACCAACATGGGTAGGAGCTACAGGTTTTGAATAACCTCAGTTGTATCTGTGGATAGCTAAAAATTCACTCAGCATATGTGTCATAAACTTTAGTAAATTGTTTGACATATTACCTAAAAACCTGTTGTGTTTTGAAAGCATAGTCCCATATCACACCAACAGCATACACAGTTGAGAGTTAACTGAGATAACAAGAGCCAATATGGAATTGTACCAAATAGAAGTATTCCTAGAGATTGTGTGTCTAGATTCATTCAGCAATCCTAAGCAGCACTGAAACAAAAGACCAAAAATAAAAGGTAAATACATAAATCCAACCAAGTTTGAGTATTTCTCTGGAAACTGTGTTCCAGACATGTACTGATATGGGGCTTAGTACAAAAATATACAGCCAGAGTAATATGAGAAGCTGGAATTAATTCATTTACTTGTTCCCTGACATGACCAGGAGTAGCTTCTTGTCAGTCCTGTTTACCAATGAAAATTCTGCCAACAGTAAAGTTAAACATTACCTGACTGACAAACATGAGAAGGAAGCCGGCCATTAGCTTGCTTATCTTTGGGCATCATCACAGGTCTCAGCTGATGGGACAATATCATTTCATTCAGTTTTTGCTGCAATGCTAAGTAATCCTCAGATAATTTTGATATCTGAAAAATATATTTTTACATTATTATAAGTATACATGTTCCAAGGCAATCAAAGGTAAAATAGTGGACTAGAGAATTAATTTAAAAGGTATTGCTCCACTGATTGCAGTGCACACCCCTACCACATTTGCCTCCTCATTTCTTCAAAAAAATGAAGAGGGGAAAAAAAAGACACATAGGAAACTCAACCCTGTAGTCCAATCCTACAGCTACTTCTCACTGGTTCACACACATGGGCAGATAGTGCCTTGCTGATGCAAGACTGCTTGTACAGCTGTGGTATACATCTCTGCATGTGTGCAAGTCTCTGACATTGGTACAGCAACTTTAGTTTCATTTACAGGGACATTTCACAAGTATATTGAATTGTAGGGACCTTGATGGGTAAACAAATACTTGAAAGGCAAAGCTTCAGAATTTAACTTAAATCAGATTAACATTATTTTTGCCAGTACCCTGAAAAGGCTGTTTTCTTTGCAACCCAAAATATGTATTTTCATAGAACACACATTACAAAATCTCTGTCTTAGTTGAGAGAGCAAAACCTTGGTGCCACAGAAGTCAGTAAAATAACTTTGCCATTCTGTCACTGCTCAGAGTATTATGCTCCACCTGCATTACTTACAAGCTTCTTACCTGTCGTGAAAAGGCTGCCAAATCACAAGCCTCTTTCTCTGAGTCTCCCTTCAGTGCCTTAGAGTCTTCAGCCTCTGTACTGGTGCTTTCCCTACCTTTTGTTGTTTGGGGATTGTTATTTTGAACGTGTATTGCTTCTGTTGGCTCCTTTATTGTTTTCTCTTGACTTTTGCAAGGTAGTTTCCCTTCTTTTCTGAGTTGTCCTCTCCTTCTGTAACCCCGGTAATTGCTCTGAATTACCACTGCTGCCTTCTCTTTGTCTTCAGAACCTTGCTTTTCTGCCTCAGCTTGCTTCCATGAGCCTCTTCTTAGTGACTCTTTTCTTGTGATTCCTTTACCTCCTGTAGGCATTGCTGCTTCACGCTTTAGGTAATTTCTTTCCACATCCCTGTCGGTGCTGGGCTGGACCACAGCAGATTCTTGATTTTGCCAGTCTGCACTGAGTGTGTCTTGATTATCATGCTCTTGGTGGGGTCTAGGTTCAGCTGAGGTTTTGAGAGAAGATTTTCTGGGTAACTCTTCCAAAGAGTCCTGTTCTTCACCTTCACTAACCTCTTCTACTGCCAGGTTCTGCTTCACAGAAGCTGCCTCTCCTTCACTAGATGTTTGCTGTTGCTCCTCTCCATTCCTGTACCTGGAGCACTTGCTGTCAGAGACAGCACCAGGTTCATCTTGAGTCTCCTCACTTGCCACTTCTTCCAGTGTATCATTTTGAGCTGGCTGCAGTTGTGCTTCAAGGAATTCCACAGCAGATAGTTCATCCTCTGCTATGGCAGCTGCTTCTTCTTCTGTTCTAGGGAGGGCACCTTCCACTTCAGCTGGACTTTCCTCAGGATCTTGAAGTTCTTCATCATTTTCCTTCTTGCTAATGGTTGCTGCATTTTCGATTTCTTGCTTTCTAAGCAATTCCCTGAACGGAACAGAGTTTTGGGCAAAAATTACAGCTGAAGGAGATGAAGAATAGAGACAACTTTACAACTACCTTTGGTGGTCTTTGTGTACTAACCAGCAATTTGATACATTGCAACATGGGAAAGATTTAATGCATATACTGAAAGTAAAGATGGGCAATTTCTGTTGTTATTATTATTATTATTATTATTTTATCTCTTAAAGTAAAAAGGGATAATATTATTATCATCAACGTCATCATCTCTTAAGTTAAAAGGGACATCCCTGTTAAACTTCACAGAAAACTGATTGCCAGGAAGAAAATCTAGGTTGTGCGACAGCTGATAAAACAATAAAGAATTAATTTAAATGAATTAACAAAATTATAAGAATTAACAAAAACATAAGGCATAAACCTCTTAGCATTTAAAGAATATACACAATCCTAAAGGTATTCTGTATTTCCTCTGTCATCACCTTTGCTTATCTTGAACAGTGACTTCAAATGAGAACAGTTCCTTGCAGATATCTGTCTCATTCTTGTCTGAACATTTTTTTATTATGTGCTAATTACAAAAAGAGACTCATCTATAGGTTACATTAGCATTACAGGTAGGTACAGTATTATTGCTCTTTCTCCTAAATCTGCCTTTATTCCTTGGGCTTGAAAAGGTAAGAAAATTGGCTACTGCCATAAAAAACCCCTTCACATAAATATACATTACTTCTGTATACATATCTAGAATAATCCTAATTTTCTTCACTCTTATATTATAATGTTGTTATTCAGTGCTGTAGTTACTGGAAAGGGAAACATTTGAGTGACATAAGAGAAAATAACACTACCTCCTGCTTTTGAAGACCTTCCTCTCCTTATATCCCCTGTAGTGAGACTGAATTGTTATTGCTGCTTTGTTTCTTGTTTCAGTTAGTTCTTTCCTCTTCTTCCTGAGTAAGTATCCTCTGGCAACTGACACAAATTGTAATGCAAAACAACCTTAGGCAACAAGCAATGGGTGCCACACACATTTCAGACAGTCAAATACTAACAGCATTAAACAAAAGCTAATGAGGAAATACAGACCAGTATGTCTATTATGATTATGCTTCATCTGAAATGATTCCCATAAAACATTTTTGAGAATTCAGAAAGCTGTACTCATTCTACATGAGGATACAAACAAGCTCTTTCTTCATATTTTGTTGGACTAAAGCAAATATAGGAAGATGCAGAATAAAACAGAAGCACAGAGCTATACAAGTGCCTCTAGAACACAGTACTCTGAGCTTAATGTACCTGCTTTGCCTGATTCAGGCAATTGATTTGACTCTATCTTTCATTTCCATGGGAAATGCCTGATTATCAGCCTAGAGAGATTACCAGGCTGTCAACTGGCACAGGCATGGAATTAGCTGAACATTCAGTAGATCAGAGAGAAACGGAGAATTTTATAGCTCAGCAGTTACAGAAGACTTAGCTCATGCTCCTTCTGCAAAGACTGATTATTCAAAACGAAAATGCTCAGCATGAAAGATGTGCTAAGCTCCACAGTAACCAGGTGCACTGTGGCAGAGAAACTCCCTGCCTGTGCCTTGTGGGGGGCACAAGGTTAATTTTCCGGTCTGAACCAGAAATAAGGACTCAAACATGGGCCTTCCCTGGGCCACGTAGCTGCTGACAGATCACTGGGGCCTTGATGCAGTTGCCAGCACATTGGTATCTGGTGCCATCTGAAGTGCTCCAGGACAGCAAAGCATCCACATGGAGCTGGCAGAAAGAACAGGACAGATGGGACTTTCTGGACAGGAAAAGTTGGGTATACCAGGTGAAAGAAAGCTGGAGGCCAGACCAGATAACCAGGGCATCTCGAATGACACTAGATACCAGTATGAGGGCAAATGAGCTGAGCATTTGCTGATTTTGAATAAAAATATTCAAACCCTAGGCTCTACTGACTATAATAGCAGTTTAGACACCTATATCCCATTTAGACATCTACACTGAAGTGTCCTAATCAGAAACTGAATTGCATTCAGAATCTTGCTTCAAAAACTTTTGAACTTGCAAATAATTTCCTAATGGGAGCTGGCACAGTCTCCACAGTGCTGTGATTTGGACAAATCTGCAGTTCCAGGAAATCAGCAGAAATCTGCTAATCCCTGGCAAAATAAAAATAACATAATGTTTTGTCAAAATATTTCTGTTGAACTCTAATTCCAAATGCAGTACCAAGAGTATGGGGATAGTGGATTCAGGTGACTTGAATACCCTGTGGACATGGTATATATGGGACTCTTTCTTCAACTCTGCTGAGAGTGTTTTGCATCACAGTGAAAAGGTCAAGCTCACTTGAAAATAAGAAGGGAGCATTAGCAGTCTGTTCCAACACATTCATATACCAGTGCTAAGTTTTATGTGCTTTAGCATTCCCCACTCATAACTTAGACCAACTTGGGCTCCACTAGGTGCAGTCAATCAATGCAAGAAGCACCATATAAAATGGGCATAAATCACACCTTGATAACTGGATATAGGATAAAGAAACACAAATACTTATTGGAAGTAGTACAATTGGATTTTATATTGCAATCTGACAGAGTCTTAGATAAGTGAAAATTGTAAAGCACTTGGAATACTTCTTGAGTTTCTTGAGCTTCTGAGACAATTCTCTTTCTATTTCCATATAAAAGCAATTCAACAGGAGTAGTTTTCAAACAAATCAAGTTATCAATGGGCATGGCAATATAAGCTGCATCTGGTCTTTTTAGACTATTCTGGTTCACTTTTGAGGTTTTCTGAGAAGTTTGTAATGATATAGTTACTGTCTAAGATTTGTTTTCAAACTGGAAGAGGAATTTTGTATTGCTTTAGAAATAAATGAGGGAAAATGGAGACAGCTAAGTAAAAAAGGACTTTTGTCTGGAGTTTTGGCTTCTTGTGCACTGAAAAATTCGAAATGCAACTGCAGACAAGACAGAGAAGGACAAAAAGAAACATTCGGGACATTAACAGAGTGAAGTGGTAAGTTTATACTTTCACATTTGCTAAATATCCTAATATAATTGGCTGTGTTCAGATGTGTAACACTTTTTGGCACATTACTGGATGTTATGCTGGTTTTAGATTGTTTTCTACACTGAAGTTCTGCCAACTGCAGTGACGTGATCTTCAGTACACACCGGTCCAGTGCAATTAACGAATGCATCTGACAATGATTAAAACCAACACTGGTCGTGGTATATACTCATGAAGGCATATCTGAGGTTGTTTAAATCTAGATAGCCTGGGTACTGGCAGCACTAGCTTATATTTGGGTTGCCACCTTTGTAGTTATTAAAAATACTGTGCAGATTTTTGCCAGCTGTTTTTATAGAATCATAAAATCACAGAATGGTTTGGGTTGGAAGGGATTCTAAAGATCATCTAGTTCCAGCCCTGCTGCCATTGCAGAGACACCGTCCACTAGATAAGGTTGCTCAGAGTCCCATCCAACCTGGCCTTCACTCCTGTATCACCGCAGCTGTACTGTTCCTGATTTCAGAGCTGCCTAGACTGTGTCTAGCTTGGGGATGTCTCTGCGGGGACAGGGGAAACCAAAGCAGGGAGGAAAAAGGAGTGTCCCATAGCAAAACCTGGGCCCAGGGTCATTATGGATGCAAAAGAGAAAAAAAGCGATGGCAAAAAAGAAGAAGAGACATGAGTGAATTTACAGCTTGCAGTCTTCCCAAATATAACCATTACTGATACACAACAAACCCAGTTCCTAATTGAGCAGCAATACACACATGATATGCAGACAGTGTTGTGTGGGATTCAACAACACCCATAGCTGAGCACCTGTAGTACTCAGACTAGGAGTGACAAGGCTCGCTATGGCACTTGAGCATCCCACTTCGTAGCAGTGGAAAATGCCTAAGACACTCTGAGGTACAGGTAACAGAATGGAGTCACCCATTTCAGCCATATAGACATATAATAGATAAGTTATACCTCAGAACATGCAAATGAGCATTGTCAATCAGTGTAGTGAGAATCTGGGTCAACATACTGTGTACGGATAACACATTAAAAGCCAAGAAAGCAAACAATTCTTACTTGCTTGAAATTTGGTCATATATTCTTCCACTTTTTTATTATGCTTTGCATTTTTGTATTCTTTACGAGCAACAAACCCCCTGTAAGCTGAAAAGAGATGTTAAAAACTAGGTAATCCACTAGGTACAAAAAAGAATAAAAATATTCTGGAATTACAGACCTCTATTAAAATGTTCATAAATGTTTTGCAGGCTTTATGTTTCAAAAAACATGGCAAACAAGCACAAATAGTAAATCTACATAAACTACATTTTCTGGTTAATAAAGTTATTATGAAATAAATGAATATAAAACACAAGATAATCAGAATGTAAAATAAGATTATGTTTGAAAGTATTAAAAAAATCCATTGATGCCTCCATCAACAGGGTAATTTGCCTTATTATCTAGGACAGTTAATATATTTTGTTTTCATTATTACATTATACAATCTTGTCAGTGCATGCCAGAATATTATTAATATGAGTAACATCTGTGCAATCACATCCTTCCATTCTTAAAATTGCCTTTTAAATATAACACTGATAAATGTCATTTCAGTAAAGAGATTGCCATAACCTGGTTAAAATAAATTTTTTTTCATAAGAACAGATATGACCAGGTATAAGATATTTTGTCAAATGTAACAGCAGGAAAAGAGCAAAATCCACATCCAGCATGCACATTCATCTACCAACTGTACACATGCACCAGGTTTAAGCAAAATGTTAAATGTTTTAAAGCTATTACCTGACTGTATTTTAATAGCACTTTGTTCCCTTTGTTCCTTTATCTTTTTGTATCTCCTCGAACCTAGCCACCCTCTGACATAAGCTTGAATCAAAATAATCATGTCAACTGTCTCCTTCCGCATTAAATTCAGCTGCTCCACATGATAGTATTTGAGGAATACCTTAAAAAGAGAAACAAACAAAAGTTTTAGTTACTTTCCCAGCCCTTTATTTACTCAATCCATTTGACATCAGCAAGAGTTACAAGTTGGTTTCAAATGATGAACAGACCCTTCAGTTGTAGGACCTAAAGGATAATTCTTAGAGATAAAATTTTCATTGTTTGGGATATTAGTTTACCTTATTCTTCTTTTCAGCATCTTTAGTCAGTCCCTGCTTATTAATTTTTTATAGCAAGATTTTTTAAAGTTCCAGTGCAAACCTTCAGTCTGTAACTATAAATCTTTTTTCAAAACTACAAGGCTGACAGTTTTGTTAACCTCACAAATCTAATGTACGTAACATGATCCAAATCTGGAACCTTCAATTTCTCCATTTCCCAGTTTTAAACCTAAAGCATAGTTTATTTACTAAATTGTTTTTATCAAGCATGAAACTCACATAAGCCCTGAAAAATGAATCCAGCACAAGGGTTGCCAACACATTCCTGGTGTATATTAAGGACTTTGCTTTTTAAAAAGAGTAGAGACCAAGAGCTACTCCAACCAAATGGGTGAGAAAACAAATTGTTTAATATGTTGATAATGGCATACTGGAATGAAGAAGATACAGCATATTAAAAAATTACTTTAGTTTTTCCAAGAACCCAGTTGTCAAGGTGGGCTTTTTCCAAGATGGCAGCACAGGTCTCCGGGCTGACTGGAGGATCATCATTTGTTTTGTAACAGATGAGGTAATACCTAAACACAAATGCATGATTCTTTATTTGATTAATAGAGGATAATACATGCAAATACATTTAAACCATTCTTTTAAAGTAATAAAAACAATTGCATGAAAGAAGACATAGCACTGAAAAAACCAAAACAGCATATGAAAGAAAGTGCAGTTATTTAGATACAGTACTAAGAAACTCAATCAAAAGTGGATGAGTGACATGTTGCACACCCTGGAGGGTTTTTTAATTCCATGCCAACACCAGAAGGTCTTTAAAAAGAATTCAACCCAAGTAGAATAGTGCACCATTTCTTTCCTGCTCACTACATTCTGTGAAAGTGATTTCAGTGGCAATATAAAAATAAATTTAAAATACTTTAACAGCTTTTCTGCCTCAATTATATTATTTCATATTTAGAAATGTCACGAAAATTTCCTATCTTGTCTCATGTGATAGACCATCTACCTTTGAGATACTTAATATCTCAATAGATGCTGAGATTCATCCCAGCTCTTGTTAGCTCCTTGGAATCAGTTTTTCAGATCCTTTTGGAACATGTAAGTGCCATTGTGACACATCATCAGTAAGCACTTAATCTGGTAAAACTCATTACTCAGAATTAATTCTGACTAGGAAACGAGGTCATGATGCTCACTCATAAAAATTACCTATGATACACCAGCTCAGCTGCTGGATAGAAAATACTTGTTTGTTCCAAGACTTGCCAAAATGCTCTATAACAAAATGAACCATATCTATCTTGGCTTTTTAATTTAAGAAAATTATATTAATTATGTGTGCTTCCTGACAGTACATTCTGGTTTTTTTCTTGTTATTCAGCCTTTAAACACAAAGCCTGGGTTCACCAGCTTTGAATGATGGTAACAGTTTGCTCATGGAATAATAAAAAAAGAGACAATGTTGATTTTTTAATTATCACCTACAGTTCTCCTTTTTTTCCTTTTTGTAAAACACAATGAATTGGCTTATTTTTATTACAACCAAACAATGATGTCATTATCTCACGTCTACCTGTAATTCTCAACTATTAAAAAAACTCCAAACTCAAAATAAGACATACATTAAAAAAATTTCTTTTTCCTTTCAGGGCCACGTCCTCAGTGCCAGGGATCTGCACAGCCTCACTGTAATCAGGGGTATAGTCTCTAGAGAGCTACCCCATTATGTTTACTGCTTTCATCTGTGTTACTTGCACAGTTAAGTTTGGTTGTTTCTTTTTTAAATAAAAATCTGTTGCCAAAAGCTACAGCACATCTTGTAGTGATAAGTATCTCTTTCCATGCTGCACTCTTCTAAAAGCTGCATTCTTCCAAAACAGCAACAGTTCCAGGATTATTTTTTCCAGAAACAGGGCTTTAAAAACACCCCTTTGCTGTTCCCCTCTCATCCAATGCACCTGCAGCACTCTGTTACTAGCTCTCACTTTCTAGTGCACTATTTCTTTTAAGTGCTTCTGTCCAAATAGGTGATGCTTGCTTCTTCCCAGTTTTGATCTCCATTCCACACAAATTTGTTCTGATTGAGACAAATGCTCAGGGTCTTTATTTTTAAGAGAGAAGTACAGATTTTTGGGGTGGAGGAAGAAGGTAGCTAAAGGAATAATGCAACCACACTGAGTTCATTACTCTGCTTCTTAACAGAAGTGACTAATACTTACAAATTATATTTTAAACAACACTATGTACTCAATGAACTTTTCAGCTCTAGACTAGGAATCCCAAATCATCATCTACCCTTGCACAAGCAGATGTTGCACAGTGCTGAATCTCGGGAGCTGGAGAAACTGTGGTATTCCTTGGATGCTGTGGCTGCAAATTCTTGGCTTTTTTTGAAGTAATGCATTTCTAATACTCAAGTCCTTGAAGCCTGAAAAATCATTCTGTGATTCATCATCTTCCCATACCCATCAAAAACAGGTTACTAATCCTGTTCCTGAACTACTCTTGGTCATTCAGTCTATAACCTTTTTTGTCACAGGAAGTGTCCTTGTATTTTTTTTCTAAAACCATGCCAAAAACAATGCTGGTGCTTAACAAGCCCTGGATGGCAACTGTAGGAGAGAAAAGAGCTTCTTCACGTCAATGTTACCGTTTTATGAAGTTAGCGAAGAGTATACGATGTGAATAACCCTGTCTTCGAATCCGTGCTGTCTCCAGAATTCCCGTGTAACGCAGCTGAACCAACACTTTTTCTTTGTCAAACTTGTTTGCCTGCCGGTCGTTGTTTGGCTTGATGCACCTGACAAAATGGGGCTGGCCAACGACCATTTTGGATAACAAATCCATCAGAGAATACTGCAAAAAAGTAACAAGAGATCTGTCACAAGGATACTTATCAAACTGGTATATAGGTCCATGTGTAGCTGAAATTTTATTTCATATGATCAGAATCATGTCCAAAACCATTTACATGTCATTAACCTGATACATTAAGAGTAGATGACCCCCAAAAAATTCTAGCTTTTCTAAGCTACTAGTTTAAAATACTTGTGAGAAACACTGATTCCAAATAAATGTACCAAACTTCATCCAGGACATTCTCATAGATTTCCATGATGTCCACCATATGACAGAACACTTACACTCCTTACATTTACTTGCTTATCTTGGAGCTTGCTAGGTAATTACAGCCATTTTTCTTTTTATTGTTGTCACCTATTTAAAGACCCTTGTTCTCCCAGAGAGTTAATCATCCATCTATGGATGGGAAGTGGAACAGCAGCAAGCCAGTAAATATTTGAATTCCTTCATTAGGCTGGAGGAAACGAAGGCTACCCCAGAAGAAGGGCTGGTTGAACTGCTCTGATCTTGGTGTGTCCTGTTTATTGCACAGACTGATGGTGATACTATAACTGCCCTGGCAAGAGGAAACTTTCAAGGAGGGCAAAGCTAGAAGATCACAATTCCAAAGCTGCATTTTTCCCACCTCACCAGAGTACCAGGCTAGCAGAGGGGATGCATGCCAGCTGAGGGGAATCTGACCACAAACAACCTTGACTGGTGTTTTGAAAAATTGCTTCATGGGAGGATCTTATTAAAACACAAATGAAGAGGCTCAAGATTCAACCTGACTCAACAGAAAGAGGCAGCCAGGAGGTAATGCAGCTCAGCAGTAGGCTGGTTACATGAAACCAGTGTAGGACGTCAAGAGCCATATGTTTCCTATTAAAATGTGCAATTCCCTTCTGGACAGAAGCTGCACCATACAGCAAAGTGCTTAATTAGCTCCATCACCAGTGTGCCAACTGAACACAAACAAGTAGGACACACTAATGGATATCTTTTTTTCAATGCAGTCTGAGGTGGCATATGCTTTTCTCAGTCACCCATAGATTTCTGTGTATGAGTAAACCAGTGGGGCTGAAGGTGGATTTTCAGTTAAGAGCATTAGCTATCATGATCTCAGCAAGGATGTCCACAGCAGAAAATAGTATCAGAAAAGTGTAAACATACTTAACTCTTTTGCAGCCTCTGATGCTAGAAGTGCTGATAATGCACTGAATCATAGACATTAATTTGAATGAAATTCAATATTTTTTTCCATCTAGAATATTCAAACAGTATATAGCTTTGGACCACTGTGGTACCTAAACTGAAATTATCCTTCACAGTCCATAAAGCTGTGTATCTAAAAAAGAGAGATCTGGCTCCTCATTGTTCTGACATAGATGTAAGTAAACTCCTACAGGTCATAAAATCATAAATATATTGACTTGGAAGGAACTCATCAGGATCATCAAGTCCAACTCCTGGCCCTGTGCAGGACACCCCAAGAATCACACCATGTGCCAGAGAGTATTGTGCAAATGCTCCTGGAACTCTGCCAGGCTGGTGCTGTGACCATTTCCTTGGAGAGCCAGTTCCAGGGCCCAGCCATTCACTAGGTGAAGAACTTTTTCCTAATATCCAACATAAACCTCCCCTGATTCAGCTTCGTGTCCTTCCCTTATGTCCTGTCACTGGTCACGAGGGTGAAGAGATCAGTGTTTGCCCTTCCTCTTCCCCTCATGAGGATGTTGAAGGTCACAATGAGGTTTCCCCTCAGCCTCCCCTTCTCCATGCTGGACAGACCAAGTGACTTCAGCTGCCTCTCATATGACTCCCCTCCAGACCCTTCACCATCCTCATGGCCCTCCTGTGGACACTCTCTAACAGTTTAATCTCTTTCTTATATTGTGGCGCCCAGAGCTGCCCCCAGCACTTGAGGTGAGGCTGCCCCAGTGCAGAGCAGAGCAGGACAATCCCCTCCCTTGCCCTGCTGGGCATGCTGTGCCTGATGCCCCCCAGGACAGGGTTGGCCCTCCTGGCCCCCAGGGCACTGCTGGCTCAGGTTCAACTTGCCATGGACCAAGACCTCCAGGTTCCTTTCTGTGGCACTGCTCACCAGCCTCTCATTGCCCAGTCCCTACACACAACCAGGGCTGCCTCACCCCAGGTGCAGAATTTGGCCATTGTCTTTCTGAATTGTCATATGGTTGGTGATTGCCCATCTCTCTGGTTTGTTGAGGTCTCTCTTCAGGGCCTCTCTGCTCTCAAGAAGCTGACAGCTCATCTCAATTTAGTGTCATCAGCAAACTTGGTATTCCTTTGAGCTGTGTGCTGAATTCATAATGAACATTCCTTCACTTCATGGTTTGCTGGGAGAGATAACTAAACAAGAGTTGGAAATTCAGAGCAGAACCAAGTCTGTGCACCACTTCAGATGCTCTTCACTGCTATTTGCTGTTCTAGGACCAGCAGCACAGCCAGTGCTTGGGGAGGTCCAGAGCACTGCTGAAGGAGCCACAAGGATGAACCCTGGGCAGCCTCTGTCCAGTGACCATCAAGAACTTTCTCTGGAGCTCCTGCTTCCAATTAACTTTGCCTTCTTTCTTAAACTCTTAAGGAAATGCTATACCACTAATATCTCCCTTTATCTTCTTTGCTGGAAAAACAAGCAAGTGAAAGATTAATATTGATCGTCATACATCATGATGACAGCAATGTGGCTGTGTAATCAAGTACAGTTAAAGATGAAACATTACAATCTCCTCGAGACATAGACATTTGTACTGCACAGACTGCTGCACCATATATGCAAACTCTAAATAGATCACTACTGATTCTAACTCAACAGGTGCATTTCAAAAAGTAAAAGAATAAACATTTTTTGTACTCTAGAAATATGTATTAAAAGATCTGACATCTTACTCTAAAATAAGAAGCAACTGTCTGTGTTTTCATGCTGGTTGTTTCTCTTGGATGATGTCCAGTATCTCCTGCTTCATTCTATAAAGTTGAAGAAAAAAAATTACACTTTTTATCTAGTTTATCTGCAGTGCCCTTTCCAATGCCCCAAGAAAGCACCCCTCAGAGAACATAAATAATTTTAAAAGTATTCTAAACAGCAAAAGTTACAGCATGATCACTAGCACAAATCAGTTACACCAACACTGCTACAGAATACACGAACATTCACACACACAAAGGGCACAAGTTGGTAACAGAGCATCTAATAACTGCCACAAATAACTGGACAATGTCTGAGGTTTGTTATTTCATCATCACTGTTAATTTGATCGTTTTCTAAGGAACGTAGCTATAGTCCACAACAATATTTTAATTCCTCTTTTTGCTACAATACAGCTGTGAAATAGTATTTTTTCCCCCTAAAGTCGTTATAAAACTATAGGCAGAAAGAAGGGAAATGTTAGGTTTTTACCTCACGGAAGGAATATGAATTGCACAACACAAAGATATCCAGCTAAACAGAAAAGAAAATGGAAGAGGGAGAAAAACCAAGGCAGGGGTTACTTGCTTACTTTCAATACCAAAACAGCTACTGCCTTTGTAGTTTAAATTAGGCTTCATTGCAGAATCACAAAATCAGTTTTCTTACCTTTGTATGACTGATTGATTTTTGGGAGGTCCACATTTGATAACTGATTGTAGTTTTGCTTTTGGTGTGTGCCAGGTTACCTACAGGAAGATGAAAGAAAGTAACCTACCAAAGTGCTTACACCTCATCTAAACAAAGAATGATCCTGAACCACCTTATTCATGCCTCCAGTGTAACCATATGATTAACAAGGTCATTGACTTTTTCAGTGTGTCCTCATTTCCCCTTTAACCCTTGGGATGGAATGAGCTCTGAAGAAGTTGCATAAACACAGAACGTGACATTTTTTCTCCTTCAACTCATATGTCATCTACTAGATAAAAAAAAATAAACAAACAGACTGCTGTAGAAGGTAAGCTAGATACATCTTAGAGCATCCATGTGGTTTTACCCTAAGAATGTTAGTGTACTATTCTAGTTCTAATGCTACATATTAGTTTAAAAAAAAAAAAAAGGTGCTAATACCCTTCTCTAGCCCTGAGGAAAAGTGATGTGGCATGACACAAGTTTATACACCTAAATTCTACTCTTCACTGCTTTTTCAACCCCTGGTAAAAATAAGGTTCTATCTTTTCACAAACTTGCTGGAAACCATCACTGGCCTGTCCTTTCTCTGAAGTAGGGCTGGGTATTCCTGGGTGGCTACTAGCTGACATGGACCAAAACTGTCCCAGGGAGGCATTCTAACCATTAATCAGAATGAGCAGCCCTGTGGGAATGTTTCAGCTACTGTTCACTGGCTGTGTTTGGTTTACTAGCACAGACAAAGTCTTAAGGCTCTAACTCTGGAATTCTAAGCCAAGCAATACCTTCATTACGATGACTTTGAAGGACTAGGTGTATTGACATGCTTTACGCAGACACTGGTCTTTTCAAGGAATAATGAACATTCTGCTGAGCTTTCCATCATATCTCTCTGTGTTGATAAACTCTAAACATTGCTACATGCTGCCACTGCTTCTGCTAATAACACAACACCTCTGGGATCTCCCTCTCCTCTGGGAGAGCCTGTATCTCTCAGTGCTCAGCTACTATCAGGAAGAGGTGGATAAGAGTTGGAATAACAGCTGCAAATATGTGTCATGGTAATGCATCTGGTATTATGTGATGATATCAAGGCCTAAACCTCCCTGGGGTTCAGCTGAATATCACAGGGTGGGAAGGAAAAAGAGAGGATTACTCACAGCTAACTTTAGCTATCTGAAATGAGGTGTCTACAGGACCCCTGCTGTATTCAGTGGAGAGAGACACCTTCAGAGATTTTTCCCATCCCAAGAGAAACACACCTGAGATAGGCAAGACGGCTTGTACTTTGGGTAATTCTCTAAAATTACTCTGATTCTAGATAAATAACATGGATCAAAAACCTAACTTTTAGTTGGCTATAGCTGGAAGGTTTGAGTCAGTTTTGAAACGCTACATGCAGTGTTTTACAATATTTAACAAGAAACTAAAACAACCATCAGAGATATCTTGCAAAACATGAAGACTTGGGATCAGTTGTTGGAACCATTTGGATGCTTACTTGGACTCTATGGAAATTATAGTTTAGTATATTAGCAGATATCAACAAGTCAAAAAGTTCAGGCAAGGGCATTGAGCTCTGCGCTTTCCCATGAACACTCACTTAAAATAAAATTCCAAGACCAAATTTTGCATTCTAATAGCAAAGCTCCCTTTGTAAAGAACAGAAGCCTTGCCAAAACCTCAGCTTCTGTAAGTTATGATAACATTTTCATTTCCATTAGGTTCTTCCAATTTAGCTTTTCTATTCTGCTAGAAATATGTCTCCCATGTAATTGTACAAGAAAGTAATGTTGTAAAGTACTTACTGTATGGCATCAATGCCCTCACACAGGGAGTACTACAACACAATAACAAACTGGTTGTAAGGAGAATTACCCATCATCCTGCAGGACAGTGGAAGGCAGGACACTTTGCAAGGACATAGTTCAAACGAGCTGCAATTTAGGAGTAATTTCTGTAGAGCCAGTTTTATTCCTCCACCTCTACTTACAAATTTCTTCAGGAAGAGCTTATTACAAGGACCCCATCAGTTACCTGTTGTAAAGAACTCCAAGACTGAAGATAGAGGAGTGTCTTCTCAGTCTTTGCAGCAGATGTTAGGAGCCCCAACATTTGTTCTCTACCACGTAGAGATAAATTGCGCTGCGGCAATTTATACATGCCCTGTCCAAAACAGTGACTTACCTGATCCTTCCTGTTCAGTCCCCAGCTCAAGAGATGCACTCCACTCCCTGTCTTGATCCCCTACCCTGAAGACAGGACCCTGAAAGAAGTTTCTACCACTTCCTTACCACTTGACCAGACAAATATCTCCCCTGTAGCTTGAGATGGCTGCAGCTCCATTCCGTATAGATTCCATGGTTGGAAAGTGAAGCCACAAAGTGTATAACACCATCAATCAGTTGTTATATGAAACTTTGCAGTGGTCATCACAAAGGCTGGAGAAAACTAAGAAGATCACCACAAAGCAATACCTGTTTTTGTGAGAGGGTGAGTTACCAGCTGTCGCGTCAGGTTGTTTTCAGAAGATCGCAGCAGCAGCACAATATCAGCTGGCAGAGTATCTCTATTTTTGGCTAGGAATCCACTTGCATTATACAGAACCTGTTTTAAAAGTGCATTTATGTATCTTCTTGGACTTTGAAAATTAATTGCAAATTTAAGCTTTCTGGAATAGAGTTTTTACTTTAACAAGATACACAAATAGTTTTTCAGCCACCAGGGTCACTCTCACTTCTAGTCTTCTTTTTTGATCACTGAAAGTTCTACCTTTTCAATACTGAGATATGATTCAAATCACTAAAAGCAAATCTATAATTCCAAAGTAGCTTGAGACATTTTTTTTTAATAATGCAGTTAGTAGTTTTAACTAGTGTGAACCTATCACCAGGACAAGTGTATTGCAGTCTTTCTTTACAGCTGTACAAGTGCTAGTGCACAATTAACCATGCACTTGATTTCAACCACATCACACAGGATTACCTATATGACTGTACAGTCTTTCTGTGCTATTCATATTATGCTGTACTGGACCCAGGACTTCCTAGGGATCTCTGTATTAATTGTAGAGGAAGTTTGCAGAATCACAAACTGCATATTGGCAACTGAAATCTCTCCAAAATCTCTCTAAAAATTCCAAGAATGGTGTACCTAAATCAAAATGTAGCTTCAGGGTTCTATCTTGATGGTCTAAGATATTCACAAGAAAACTTGACCTGTCAGGAAGGGTAGAAGATACTGGGACGTATAATTTAGAAAAACCCATTACAGAACAACTCAGCAACAGTCTTAAATGATTAAAAAGACGTGTAGAAGAAGAGGAAATAAATTTCTCTCCAGTTCCACAGTAAGCTGGACTAGGGGTAATGAATTTACATGGCAGCAATAGAGACATAAGTGGGACAGCAGAAGAAACTTCTAATGAAAGAATTTTTCGAACACTGATGGGGCACTGGTGTAATTCCCCATCTTCAGTGGCTGGTAACAAGAATGGTAGAGGGAGACCTGGCTTTCCACTCCTTGCAGTGAGTTATGCTATGCTGGTGAAATGCAACTCAGCTGGAGAGGAGGTTCAGAGGAGTTACAAGAGGCTCTTTGTTGCTGGCTGTCTTACACAAGGGGTAAGGTATTTTCCATCAGCTGATGGGCAGTATTTGTCTCCTCCCAGGCCAGCTGCTCCAGCACTGCACAGACCCAACATGGTTTCCCATGTGAGACATCAGTGCTCACTCTGTACCCTTTAGAAGAGCTCAGAGGGAGGTGGGAGCTCCTGCTTTCCCAAGGCAGGTTCAGGTGACCAGTGCCCTGCTGCTGCAGTGCAACAGCAGCTCCTCCTGTGTTTGCACTGCACCTGCAGCCAATCACCTAGGGAGGGAGGGAGGCAAGGATGCTGCTCACTGCATGAAGCAGGGCCTGCACTCTCTGTCTGGCTGATGACAGAGAACAGAACTAAGAAAGGCTTATGGTGTGTAGGAGGCACTAGAAAGAATGGAGCTGGGTCCTGGTTAGAAACAGTGGGAACAAGCGTGGTGCAGGACTTTGAGGATCTAAGGCGAAGAGCACTGAGTTGCATTACATACCAGTTATGTTTTGGGTCTTCTATAATACAGTCAGTTCATTTACCTGGCGACATTTAAGAGAAATACACTCCTGGTATTGGTTTTTTTTGGTTTTCTTTTTGGTTTTTTTTTGGTTGTTTTTTTTTTTTTTTTAAATGAGGGATAATAACTTTCAATTTTTTTTTGATATGTAAGGCAGTGACAACATTCCCATGTCTGGACTGAAGAGACAACTGTTGAAAATTAACCCAGATGACCTCTTCTACTTCCTTCCAGCCTGTCATTCCACAATCCCCAACTAACATCATCAGGTGTCTTACCTTTCCTGCATAATGATAAATTCCAAAGGTTAGATCTACTCTTTTGGGTCTCCAAAAATATTTTGACTTCAAATTATCTTCAAATTTTTCTGAAAGGAAACACATAGCTTATCTTACTAGAGTTACTGTACAATCATTCTCTTCTGAAGCCATATCCCTCCAAGGAGATTTCCTGACTTCTCAGCCAATGCAGAGGCACAAAACAGACACTGATGTTTTCAAGGACAGAGATACCATAATGGTCTTGTAACAAAAGACACTGGATAGAGAATATGGGAGCTCTTGGACAAGTTACTTACTTTGTTCCAATTTTTTTATGTGTGACCTCAGAAAATCATGGAATCATAGAATAATTAAGGTAGGAAAAGATGTCTAAGATCATTGAGTCCAGCCCTTAATCCAGCACCACCCTGTTCACCACTAAGCTATGTGCCCAGGTGCCACATCCACCCATGTTTTGAACACTTCCAGGGCTTGTCTTTCCAAGATTTTGATCTACATATATGAAAAAATGAAATCTTTCCTAAGGATTCCTTGAGGAGTTGTGAAGAAACATTCACTGATTGAGTGCTTCCATACTGTAGACTAAAAAGCATGAGGATAAAAGAACAACAAGCTCATATAATTGCTTTAACATGGGCATTGTTACTGGATGTTATTAGGTTTTCTGATTGGATGTTGGCTAAAATTATACTTTGACACTCTGCACATTCAAAAATGAGTAAAACCAGGATTTATCTGCACAGGAATATCACTGAAATAATGAAGTCAATGGTAATAGCAGCTACTCAACAGCACTGAAATATTCAGGATCTGAATTACAATGACTTTAGGTGTTTTAATTTTAATTTGTGAATAGAAAACACTCAGAAAGCATAATTTGTTGAAAGGCACTGAAGCATGTTTGCAGTCATTACTTTTAAAAAGTATTAAACTTCTTGCTCAGATACTGCTCATCAAAAATCTCAGAGCTAAGCATGACTGAACTTTGCAAACAGTGTTGGTCTATGAACCTAGAGTTTTAACTCAGTTTGATCTTTACTCTTCAAGCTCTGCAGCAAAAAATTCCTGAAGGTGGGAGAACTTTAAACCTGGATCAGCAGCTTAGGTTCATTTGTACTCATGATGTTTCTCTACTTCAAGGACACAACCATCCCAGCATGCATGTCTCCCTCAAACACACTGTGACACTGAAATGGGGGCTCACTAAAAGCATAACTAGCATGTAGTCTGAACTGTACGTGCCAAACAGAGATTGAACAGAAGACAAGCTGTAAAACTGTGAAACGAACAAATACTCACCTACAAGTGTCTGATCTGTTGCTTGTGGGAATCGACTTTCCTCATCCAGCAGAGACAATAAACCCATTGGTTTCTGCAGGAACATATCTAGGAGGGGCCTGTTGTCCTCGTATTCTATAACTCTTGCATCAACACCTTCGTAAAGGTATTCATTCTGCAGCAAGAAACAGAAGGCATGCTTTGTCTGTGTACGCAGAACCACTTCAGAAAATAATTCACAAACTGTCAATTGCAGCAAATTAAAACTGCATTGAGAAAGTATGCCGCAGGGCTAAAGCCATCAAGGTTTTGCAGAAAGAAATGTCAGCTGGGATTTCGGTTTTGAACATGTAAGTTCAATACTCACTCCTACAGCATATTTGGCTAAGTTAGATACTTTACAGGAATAGCAAGAATTAAAGAAACAGAGTTGAAAAAGATAAAGTATATAATTTACAAATAGAGGCCTCAGGGTCTATTTATTTCCCTGGTCTGAAATGTAGAAAATTTCTTAACCATTTAGAGCTATATTTACATTCCCAACTCATTGCCCAGACCCAAGTGATGGCTAAGATTTACAGAAGTGACTACAGGTTCCAGTGTCTTGTTTGATCACCCTCCTCAAATACATGGAAAAATTCTTAAGTGGAGAAGAAAGGTGCACATACTTTTTAAAAATTAAAGAACTGTGTACATACTTCCTAAGAATAAATTGCCTCAGATTTGCTTCTAACACATTTTCATTCCTTTTAAGGAACTAGGGAAAGGTATTCCCCAAGATTTAAAAACAACGGAAAAGCTAATGGTGTGGACTTCTTTGTTTGCTTTTTTTTTGTTTGGTTTGGTCTGGCTGTTTTTTTCCTGAAGACTGCAAATATCTGGATTCCTCCCAGACTAAGGAAAAAACAAAACCCAGATGTGTCTACAGTGTGTTGCGATGGTATTATCTTGACTATAATTTAGATTATAGCTGGAGAATACAAGAATGACTTTCCTTAATCCTTTAGCAAGGCAGAGGACAGCTGCAGATTTACCAAGAGAAGGTTGCTCTAGGGACTACCACCCCCCATTATTTTTGCTTGAATTAGGTAACAGCAATAGCAGTTTTCTACCACACAATACTCCTGTTTGTGCCAGGGATGCCTTCAGTCCTGTGCAGGCTGCACTGCGAAACACAGAGCTTTTGATCTACTTTAAAATCATCCCTCTGCCAAAGGACAGGAATTAATAAGTGTTGTATTCATGTATGATGTTAACATCACAGTTTTGCCGTCCTGAATTCATTGTGAGAAGGATGTCACAAAAATGAATAATGGCTAATATTAATGAGTTCAAAGACCTCTAACCTTGGAAGACCTCTTCTTATGTGTCATTCATTTGAGTCTGAGTGAGTGAAGAAGGCAACACATTGAGCATTTAAAAAAGAAGTTCACTTTCATATACAACAGAAAAGTACCTATTTCATACCTCTTACTCTCAGAGAAACAAGAAAAGGCATAAAATCAATAAGACTGGTCTAAAAAATACAGGCACAAATAAAAATCTGCTGATCCATTTGAAAGAGGACACAAAATATAAACCAAAACCCTTCCAGTATCCAGACTGATGTAATTTCCCTGGACACTCTTCACTCTAAGGATAGGTTATAATTCAGTTTATATACCACACAAGGGTGTAATCAGTAAGAATCTCACCTACAGCCCCATGATGACTCCTCATTTGAGACAAATAACATTAACCTCATTCGTGTCTCCCCTGAAGCAGTGGACAGGTGGAGTTTTGCTTTTTAATTTAATCAATGACCTGAGTAGCAGGACAAGACAGGAGAGTAATAAATGTATCACTGATATAGGCGAGAAGTTAATTATATACCTGTAGGAGCTGGTGGCAGAAAGGGAATGAGTCTGTGTTATCTCCCAGAGATAACATGGGAGTAGGGGCAGTTTAACTGAGGGCTACAGCTACACTGACACACAGATGTTCATGGAACCAACTGTTACTGCTTAGGATTATCTAGAGTGCCCTTATCAAGGAGGCAAGAGGAAGAGACTGCTCAGGATGGATCTATCAGAGGAGAGTGTTTCTGTGACACTCAGACATCTTCAAACAAACTCTCACAGCCAACCTGTGTAATCATAAACCTTTTCCAACTACAAATGCTTGTGAGAGAGGCTGGTTTAGAGAGCTGGTGAAAGTGTTCTCCTTGAAAAAGAAGAGAACTCTTAGAAGCTGTACTACTATGCTATAACAGCAACACCTGCTCCCCTCCCTGCCCAGGAGCCCACAGGGCCTGACCTCCCAGCCTGCAGAGCATGTGACCACTCAGTCTGTGTCCTTTGTGTCTCACAACTGAACGAGTGTCAGCACTGACAGCTTTGGAGATGCTGCCATCTTCCCAGCAGGATATGAAGGAGTTTACTCCATCACTTACCACGAGCTCTTGAAGGACAGCTGATGACCAAGCCAGGCACCAGTGTGACAGATGACTCAGAAATGATAATGTACTACATTTTCTAATATAGTGCTGGTTTCAACCACATCATTAGGATATAAGCAGCAAGTATAAAAGCTTTAATAACAGACATCATAAAACTGTAATGAAACAAGTCTTATTGTTAATAAGACTTGTTAATCCCCTCCACAAGAAAGCTCCACAAAATAGCTACTTCTTGAAATTCTAAAGCACAATCCATTAGAAAGTATTCCTGTGGATGGGATGTCAAAAGGAATAATTGAGTTACACTATTAACTGGGCTCCCATCTCATCTTAGTATTACATGGTATCTTTCCTATGATCCAAACCATGTAACATTAGCTTGTACCGCCTGGTTTCAATGGTAACAAAAGAATTACAAAATGCATTAGGAAATGGTCTCCATGTTTAATAAAGTAATGCCATTTCACCAAGAACATTTTATGAGGACACTGGGTTTAAATGGGGACACCAGAGACTTATTCAGAAGGAACCTTTTCCAGCTGAAACTAGAAGATTAAATTGTCATGAGAATGTAAAATAAACATAGCATATATTTAATACAAAAAGTATAATCCTTCTAACTGACAGCAAACTTGCTACTTTCCAAAGAGTTTTAGCTATCTGCCATTACACCTTTTACTTCTTATGGGGGAATGACAAATGAGAAAGGAATAGGAAGGCTGTTTTGCTGGACATTGTGACCTGCAGACCATGGAGCTGACAGAAAGTAACTTATAGCACTATCTAATATGTAAGCGGAACACTTTGAAGGACAGGACTGAAGGTCCAAAAATTCTGCTTTGCTTTATATTGACCAAAAACCCCCCTTGTGCTAGCAAAACAAAAAGCAGTGACTAAGTTGAGAGGGCACATTCTCTCCTCAGTCAGTAGAGACAGGGATATATCTATTTGTCTCCATTGACTAGTGGGAATCTACACTATCTTTATCTTAAACTATATACCCATTTCAGTCTTTCTGTTAAATTAGTGAAAGGGGATTGCATTCAGGCCTAAAAGCCTTTATTCTTAAATGCAAACATTAAGTCAACAATAAAGAATAAATTATCTTAATTTTGACTTGAGTTGTCCATGTTGGCCCCCAGACACTCCATTCCAGCTGACACCCTGAGCCTCAGGTTGGGATAGTACCACTGCTCCTTTCTTCTACCCCTGTCACTACTGTGGCCTTTTTTTTTTTTTTGTGGGCCACACTTTCAAGGAAAGCAAAACTGTGAATGCTTTTCAGATTCAGAAACAGAAAAGAGACCACTGGCAATGAAAAACAATGTCACCTGCAACACTGAAAGTACAATTCAGCCTCATGAGTGTATTTACTATTTGGCTTCATTGGTCAAGTTGTCAAAATATGATTCACCTTCTCTGATGACATAATCACTACTTACTACTAGGTGAACATGAGCTGATGACAAACTAAAATGTAATCAACTGATTAGGTCTCAGCTTCGCCCAGATCTGTCAAATTTCATCAAATTGCACGTGATATGATATTGAACAGGGCAAAATAGGGAGAGGAATGAAAAAACAATGTATTTGTACATTTTATGTTTCTTGAGGGAAGTATAAAAGAACTTAAATTCTTCAGGCTTTCTTCTTGGGTAGATCTACAGGGTTCAATGAGGTGCTGTGTTACAGATTTCTGAGGTAGCACAGGGCAATCTGACATGTCTGTCTGGCACTGCACAGGGCTGTGAAGAGACACTAGCCTGGGTCCCCGGTGACAGGACAGCTCCAGCAGCACAACAGTCAGGGCTAAGGGAAGTCAACACAGATCTTGGTGACTTCTGGCATCAGCCTTCTTGTAAACACAACTTCTGTCTTTTAGAGTCTGTGACACAAACCCTTGCATATAAAGTCATTGGTAAAGTCAGGCAGATACATTAGCAAAGAGCAGAGGCCATCCTAGTGTTTGTTCACATCAGTGATATTTTTAATTTTAGTTTACAATTAAAGTACATTATTGGTGTCAACACAGCAGAGTCCTTACAGTGAACAGGAAAGTGAACAGGAAAGATTCTGGAGCCACCTGCTTTCTCAAAGGCTGTTTTTGTGATGTAAAACTGGGACAACCATGTAATAAATAAATGAAAAGTGATGTCTTATAATGACTATGAATCATACCACAAATCATTCTATGCCACTGAGTTGTAATGCAGAATAACACATTTCTTACTTCCCGTCTCTGAAAGGGGCAAATTTACACTTGCATGAACTTAATCTATATAGCTCCTTATGCACCCCTGTAGTAATATCTTTGGGAACTGCTAGAAGGTAGTATAATGAAGTTTGGTATAATCTGATATAGTGGTTTGATGTAAATTAAGGTAGACAGTCACTTGGTTGGTATTACAGGCTGGATGTGGACACTTGTAATAGAAATATTAGGACTGGTATAAATGAAATATGAATGGGAATGTGAATATAAGCACCAGAAAAAATAGTCTTAAAAGAATAGCTGTGTGATAGCCTGTGATTTGAATGAAGAACATTTGTTCATAACAATAAAACTGAGGAATGAGTCCCTTACATCAAGAACAGAAGGCCTTCACTCATAAAAACACAGTGCAGAGAGTTAGTGAGTGGAAGACCCTCTAAACCTGGCAGCAGGAGCATGACTGTGAGGTTATAGCACATTACACACAATATTCTTATGAGCTCACCAAGGAAATGGACTGTAGGCATAAAAATGTGTATGTTCCAAAGAAGTAAAGCCAGATAATGACCTTGCCTAAAGGTTATGGATGCTGAAGTAAATAAGGGTTTGAGGAAAATAATGATTGCTAAAGGCTGTGAGAGATATGTCCAAAAGCTATTTCAGCAAGAAGAACTTAACAGATGTGATGAAGACTTGCCAGCTGCTGTCCATTATTCTATATGTCACTCAGAAATTTTCTTGGCCAGATCATTTGAAGACAGACACACCCACCCACACACACCATGGTGTATACTATGTATCTGTGAGTCAATGAAATCTGTGAGAGAATGAATGGAAATGGGTAAAATTGATGTACTTAGAGATTCTGTAAATAGAGATTGCTTTTCCCTTCTATAGAGTCTGTAGCTGTACTAACTTTCTACAGGGAGAAATGGGCAAACTATATATTGTCAAAATAAGAAGTTAATTTTTCCCCCCATGTGCTCAGTAACAGAATAACCACCCTGACCATGGTGCAGCAAAGCACACGCAGGGAGAAAACTGTTCTTACTACACGGTGACACCACAAACCTCTGCAATAATATAGGTCTGGCCAAAAAGTTCTGTAGCAGGATATCTAGAAACAAGTGAAGGCAGATTACACTAAACTTGACTCTAATTATAAAAAAAAGAAAAGAGAAGGAACATTAAAACAATATTTGGGTGTACAGGAATAGGGCTAAGAACACCAAGGCTGGTCTCTCAGCAACAAAAGGCAACTAGGGAGAACGTGGTCCTGCTGCTGAACAAGTTTGTGGATGACATGGAAAAGGCTGAGTTATTCAATGCCTTCTTTGCACTGGTCTTGACTGATAATTCCAGGTCCCTGAGAAAAGGGAAAATCTGGAGCAAGGAAGACTTTAACTTAGCATTTAAGCAAAGTGGACATATGCAAGTCCATGGGGCATGGTCAGTGCTTGGTTTTGACAGGAATAAATATTGTTGCTGCAGTCTGCGCTATTTCCATCTCCCAGCTGTTAGAAACAGCAATATCCAAGTGCCCTTCTTTTGTGAACTTGTGCACTTAGGAAAGAAGATGCCCAAGTAATTACAGCAGATCTAATTAAATTTTCTCTGGCTTTTAGATGATATTAAAACCAAGGAAACATTATGTCGGTAATCTTGCACATAAATCTATAAAAACAACTACAAGATACAAGACTGAAAGACAACATTTCCTGAAATAATCGGAGCCATAAAAAAAAAATTATTGAGCCATAAAAAAAAATTGTCATATTACACATAAATATATTAACCTCTAGACTGACACATGCATGTATATGCATGTACACACCTGCATACATGGACACATTGCAAACTTGTATCTGTCTCACCTTAAAACAAACAGTGATTAACACTGACAAAATACTCTGCTTCTACTAACAATTAAAATTACAATTCAGGAGAATTTTCATACATGTATCATAAACCAAATAATTTTATTAAAACAACAAAAATATAATTTCAGCTGTGGTTTGAATTCTGATTGTTCTGCCATAGAGAATTCTGAAATATTTAAATTTTCATCAAGATATTTTTTCCCCTAAAAATGTTATTTCTTAAAATAACAATATTGAATAATGATTAATTTAATTCTCCTGAAATTATTTACAAAGTTGAGATGCTTTTTTTTTGAGTTTTCTTCCCTCTCCTCTTCAAATTCATAAACTTTTATATTTACAATGCTATTCCTTTTCTCTGCTTTAAAGTAAATTATTTAGATTAAATCCATAATTATTTAGCTGAAATGATCTAGTTTCTCAAGATGAAAAAAATAATTGTGAGATTTGCAATTTTTAGTAATGGAATTTCAGTGTTCATTAAGCTTATTAGTAAACTATCATGAATCCTGCACTTTCAAAATTTTGTTACCACTCATTTACTTTTTTACCAGAGAATCATACATTACAATACTCATTATTCCTCAAGAAAACAACATTGCATTTCCATCAATCAGATTATCACAGTGCACAGTGTTATGTTGCTTAGTTACTGTAAATTTAAATCCATTAAACTGTAAGTTTAACTGTTATGTTGCTTAGTTACTGTAAATTTCAAGTTTAATGCATTTTATGTTGGCATTTTACTTGCAAATAGCAAGCACTGCTTCAAGGAAAACATACTTAAAAAACATTTTTTATGATCTGCTATTTACTAGCTATCATGGAGAAGGAACAATAGTTTCTTGAGACAAGGTTTTATACATTCAGTAATATTGAAAGCTTTATATGTTTTATGTGTTTAGTAATACTAAAGCTTCATCAAAATAACCAACACATACCTGTTCCCAGGCAAAGACATGTTGATTGAAGTAGAACTGAATTTGCTCATTGGCAATGTTGATACACAGTTGTTCAAAAGAATTTTTTTTGAAATTCTCAAAGCCAAAGATATCAAGAATTCCAATATTCAAGCCGTCATCATTTTCACTGCAAAGATGAAATATACTTTTCATTGTTGTATCTTTATTTTTCATTAACCACATTCATTACTACTTCACAAAAGGAAATCATGGGCCAAATCTGTACACCAGTTAGACAGGATAAGTTTTGCTGAACCAGATCTCTCTTAAAATGACAATTGTTAGTTTGAGATACATAAATGCAGATCAGTTCAAAGATTAATGCAATGCAGACCAGATACACAACAACCAAGTCAACTGATAAGTGAATACGGGATGAACAATTTTATTTTTACACTAATATTTGTAAGTAATTATTCTAAAAAGCTGACTACACTACAAAAAGAGCATGCAGTTCTTTTTGTTTCTCTTGGAATAACACAGGATTTACTCATCAGTATCCTGAAATTAAAGACTGTTGTCATTAAGTATTATTTGTTCATATTACTTACTCATAACAATTAAAATTGCTTAGTTTAAGAGTAAAGTAAAAACAATGACTAGCTAGACCTTTTATGTAGCTAAATAACTACTTTATGCACTGGGATGTGGTATGAATTTAAATTACCAATTAAATTCCAGAGAAGCACTGGAAAAACTTTGTTTTGATATTTTAAGTAGGGCATGCTCAAGATATGTGATCACTTCTGCAACTGGAAGAAACTCTACTTATTTGCTGAAGCAAAAAATTAAGAGGATATAATTTTATAACAAACTGAGGCTGACATCAGTGACCTTTGTAGGCAAGTAAAATATAAATCACATTTTTTTTCTATAAAACCTCTTTGAGGGGCTATCTGCAACCATTTTTTAAATAAAGATTTAGGAAATCAGAAATTAAGAATCAGCCTCAAGACACTCATGAATAGCACTTAAACCTCTTTGTGAAGTCCATCTCAAAAAAGAAAGTGTTTCATTGTGGAGAGATCTGAATTTGGTGACTATTTAATCTGTCTCAAAATTACATTTTTGATTAATAGACTGCTAAAATTTATCTGCCCCATTTCTTTTTCAGAACTAATTACATAAAAACAGAAAATGCAAATTATTTTACTACCACAAAATCAAGCAAAATTTGGGGTTTTTTTATAGTGAGCATTTCAGGTTGAATTTTCTCCCTCTGCACCAGCATAATAAGTAAGTATTGAGTCTGGAAAAGGCTCTGTACAGACAACTGAGAGAGGTACACAGGCTAGAAGTGCTGCCCCATGTACCATGGATTTTACCCTATCACTTACTGATTTAAGTTCTGTTTATTGTTGCTCTGCTATAACCAAATACTTATAAGTTTAGACAAATTTAACGATTGCAACCTTGGCTCTTCTCTGATGTTTAGGAAGAAAAAATCCAGGAAATTCAGATCTGCAAACCAAAGCTATTTGCTACTGATATGGTGTTTAAAATGTCACCTTGTAAGTGTGAAGTTGACAATACCACCAGTAAATGTGTTTAAAAACTATTCCCACACATATATGAAACCATGCTTATACCAACAGAGACAACAGCATCAGTGTAAATAAGAGCAGAATTTGACCTATGTAATCAACATGACGAATATCAAAAGTTTACTCTGAAAAACATACAAAAGAAAAACGGTAAAAAGTAAAAAGGGTTAAAAATACAAAAGAAAAAAAAAAGGTTAAATGAGTAAAGATCAACAGGAAAACACCAGATGCTTTTGCCAACCATATCTACTGTATTTTCACTATATCCTATGAATGGGACAAAACCCTTTTCGACATGGTGGGGTCATAAACAAAAAAGCAGCAGAGGAAAAGAACTTAATTACACTAAATGCTCTAGTGAAAGACAATATTATTACCACAGAAAGAATATCTCTTTATTCTACAAAATCACCTTTTACCTTAAATGTTTGTCAGGTTTGAGTAAAGTGTTGATGCGATTGACTATCCAGCTGAAGAGGCGCCCGTACAGTGCTTTGGCCATGGCATCTCTGACATCAGTGGCTTTTTCCACAGTGTTGGGACGAATAATTGTTTCTCCACGAGTCACAACACAGTGAGAGGTGAGGGCCTCTTGCAGTTCATCTGCCTGAATACACAGCAGGGATGCACCTGGGAAGGAATGTCACAGGCATAGCTCAGAGACAGATTTTGGAAGGTGACTGTGTGAGAAGTACCCAAGTTGTGAGGTGTGAATACCCCTCTCAGTTATAACCCACTCATACAAGTCACTGCTGTTCTCCTTTTGCTCCAAAAAAGGGGTGCTTCTTTCCCAGTTCCACAATATTTTTCTATGGCAAGAAAACATGCAAGAAGATAGTGTGAAGACTTCATTATCTCCCCAGGTGTAATTACTGAGAAGGTGCAGCAAATTTCTAGAGAACCTGTGTCCCTTTGCCTCCTCTACCTCCTAGCAGCTTATAATGTAAGGCATCCCTTCCAAAGAATTAGTGAGCCATATATTCACAGGCATATGTGGGGAACAAGTAATGAGCAGCTGAGAAAGAAACTGGGAAAAAAATATTCAATGTGTTAATGAGGTTCTCCATCAAATGTTCAAATAACCTTGGAAAAGTTCTAAAGATTTTTTCAGGCATCTGCAGTATTAGTCATGTTTCCTGTAAGCCAGTGAACTGGTTAGTCAAATAAGATGCATAACATGGAAATTTTTTTTCTTTTTTGCATTTGAATTCAGGTGGGCTTAGAATTAATCTACCTTCAGTTTTTAATTATTCTTGCAAAATTTCCATGTGAATACAATTTTCATTGATAGCTCTTACAATAAAATACATTTGCTATGAAAACACTAAAGAAAAACAATGTTAAATCAAGTAAAAAATACTCACAGTTCTCAAGGGCTACTGGATTGGAAATGTTGCTCTTGTCAATCATATGTTCGGATACTACTGCAGAAAATTCAATGTTACCCACATTTAAAATGGCAGCCAGGACACTGTACACACTTCCAAGTTCCTGAAAAGTATATTAAAAAAATGCAATATTTAATAGCCAGGTCATTTGTCTCTGTGGTTTGTGCCATGGGTATATGTGTGTGTGCTGTTTCCTGCTGTCTGCCATGTGCCCACTACTTCCAGGAGTGCTGTTCTCAGCACTTATTCCCATTCTGTACTTAGAAAAGTCTTTAAACACTAAGACAGTCAAAGAGGGCAAGACAAACCATAGCCTAACCTCTCTTCTGTACTTGTTGACAGGAAGTAAGGAAAGCAAAAACAATGGTGTGCATACCCTCTTACATAGAAATAATTCAGAGGTTATTTATATCTGCCCTTCACTGTGTCTGTAGGTGCAAACATGTCTACAGATTTAATACCTAGCTTAACAAAAAGTAGAAAAAAATCTGTATTGATGTTTCTTATATCATGGAAACAAAGGTATTCCAAATAATAGGTCTATATCAACCCCCACCAATGTAATCAGAAAAAGTTTTACTGGGAGAAGAGTGAGGCCTCACATCTCCGACTTGGAAAAGCACTTTATCCTTCAAAATGTCAGACAGGAACTCACCAAAGCATCTTAATATGGACTTTGCTTAAACAAATTTAGATTTCAAATTATTTAGGAGGTTCTGCCATGTTTAGTTGGTAAGGTGGTGTTAGGACATGGCTTGGATTTCATGATCTCAAAGGTCTTTTCAACCTTGTTAATTCTGCGATTCTGTGAAAAGGAACTCTGTCATGAAAAAGGCTGTTATTACTCTGGACAGTGAACTGATATATACAGTAAATTCAGTACCTATACACAAATACATACATTTCAAACAATATTTGGAATTAGTAAAATAATGCTTCCGTTGCAGGTTGGACTTAGATTTTAACTGCATATTTTCATCTGAATAGTGAATGTTCATCATTATACCTGATGATCTGAGTGGTTTTTACTCAGAAAAATCTAGGTGTACCTGTAAAGCATACTAACAGTCTGTGACAACGTGTATTTTGAGGGATAATAGTATGTTTTTTAAATAGCAGGTTGAAAGCATTTGTAGCAGTTTTATAAGAAGCAGTTTTGAAAATCTGATTGGTATTTTATAACTAAGAACTTTTTATAATTGCACAGCATTTTATCCTTATTATTCAATACTTTGCTGGTACCACGTCAGGCATCATTTACTCAGATAAAATCTCTAATTGCTCTAGAATACTTGAGCTTGTTTTCAACACTTTCAGAAGTTAATCTAGCAGTTAATAAATAGTGATTCCAGTGACAGCAAGACAAACGGGGTAAGCTCACTCTAAAAAATTATGCTGAAGATAATTGGCACACAGTTTACTTAGGATTAAGTACTCATTTTCATTTTAAGATTAGGGACACAGTTGAAATGCAAAGAAATAGATAGCTTAACTTCTGACATCATGCTGTACAATACATATAGCTGCTGACATTTTCCTGCTCTTTTCCAGTGTATTTGAAATCTGGCTTGATCTGTCTCATACAACATAATTATTGTTTCCCTCAGGCAGTCCTTTCTTACTAATTTTGCTGTGCAGCCTTAAATAAAACTGTGATTTTAAGACAGGGAGTACTGACAGTAGTTACTTTTAAAGCTTGTCAGGCAGTTAAAAGCAAATTTCAAAGAAATAAAGCTTTGTTTAGGTTTCAGTTTTAACTGAAGATTTTATTCTGTCCATGGCTTTCTGCTAATAAAACACTGAACGTGCTTATATAGAAATTCCTCTGTGCACTGGGACGAATCTCAAAGCTTAAGGCTGCATTACTAAAAAGTGAACTTGGGAAAGGAATTCAATGTCTTATGGGATATTTTTTTCACTGAAAAAAAAATGTCTTTGCACATGTATCCGATATCAGAACATCAGTGGGGGAAGAAGACTCTTCCTTCACTCCTGCAAGCACAGCCTCAGACAGGTTAATTCACCCTGAGGAGGATGCAAGGCAGGTTGACATGGCTGGGGGTCACAAGTAGCCACAAGCAGATTGCCTATGGCACTCAGCCTGCTTCTGAAACTGCAGGGTTCTACCGGTAGATAATTCTCCACAGATTCAGCTCCCAGTGGCTTGCTGAGTTAATCAAGTGAAGATCCATGCTAGAACTGCACAATGCAGCCAGTGACCTGGTTCTAACTGCGTCTTCAATGTACATGGAAGGCCTCTTTTGGATGATCGAGATTATTGTTTCCACCCATCCAAGTGAACAAAAGAATTGGAAACAAAAACAGACTTGCTGCTTTTCATGCTTTAAATTAGGATTTATCAAGGTCTCCGGTGCTGTGACAAAACTGCTATCAGTGCTGAAACATGAATGTCCTTTCATGCTGCTTCTGGAAAGGTGAAAGCACAAGTGAAAGGATGTGATACTACAGGTGTGATATTACTAAATGCAGCTGTGAATAACATGTAGAGGAGAAAGAGACTGTGAACACCTTTGCTACTACAACCTAATGCAAAGTGACCCTGGAAGAACAAAATAGGTGAATACATCTGTTCTGCTGGCTATTTCAAATATTTACATTGAGGGAAGCCAGAAAGCGTCAACTGAAGAGAGCAATTTTCTGTGAAAAGCTTCTTACCACATACAGTTTTGTCAGAGAAATGAAAACATATGTCCATTCTGAAGCACTAGTGCTATATTTCACGGATACTGTATGGATCATACCTTTATTTATAAACAATATAAATAGTAAAGTAAGAGATAAATGACACCTGTGATGCACCACTTCTCGTGGGGAAAAACTAGGTCACAGGATGGGATTTCTTTCCTTTATAAATCCAGTCCTTTTTTAATTTCAATTCTAGCAAAGACAGACTGAGGAGAGGGGTTTAACAACTAGCTGAACAATGATATGAGATCATAAAGAAAAATGGGTTCAGTTACTGTTTAGTGATGAGATTCATCTCCAAAGGGATTTAAGAACTTCATTCAACTTTATCCCCAGAGTTGTGAAAATGTATTGAGTTCATCAATACCCAGATTAGCTCAATGAATTTTTAGAACTTTCACCATGGACTTCCTCTTAAAACTGAGATGAGGCTCATATTCACAGGCCTAAAATTATTGGCTAATAAACAGTTACAACATAATTTTCTGTGCATTAAATTTGTTAAAATCTCTCCCCGCCACAAATTACTCAGCTGTTCTGCGTTCACTGATTTCAAAGCCTTGTTGGCTAATATAATTTTATTGGTTTACCAATGCCTTGAAACTTTAAAAATTTAAATGTTACTATATAACAGTAAGTTGACCATCCAAGATCCTAAAACACAAACACAATATGCTAAAGGAAAAAGGGAGATTTGAATGCTTTATATAAGTTTTTCCTGATTAAGGTAGCTGGTGAAGTTCACAAAGGAAAAGGATTATCAGCACTCACCTCCAGTGTAAAACCTATGACTTTGAAGCACTGTTCTATTAATTCAAACTGAGACTTATAAAAGCTATTGTTCATGAAATCTTGCACTATTCTGAAATGATCATTTTGCAGATATCTGAAAGAGTTGATGGACACAGAGTTAGAATGCAAACGAGGCTGAGAATTCAACACTGTGTTTCTTAGTAATCAATTTATGCAAAAATAAATTGCATTACCTGGGAGGTCTATATTCTGGCAGTTTATAATGTGCCAGTTTTTTCTTTTCTGCGAGACCAGCATAAATATAATAAAAAATATGGAAATTTTTCTCTCCTCTGAAACAACAGAAACAACAAACTGATTTAGTAATATAACCATGTTGCATTTATTAATGACACACATACTATTACTAAATGTTGTTTTAATAATAGGCAAGACTCACACAAAGTGACGGAGGACTCTGAAAGAAGCTTTATTACACACTAGCTGTGAACACCCTTTTCATGCCATTCTGTGTTTGTCCTGACACTGCCAGGGTGGCTGCTCCGTGCTAAAGCAGCTCAGTGCTGCTCTGCCCTTGATGCAATTGGTAGATCCTGTGTGAGATCTTGCACGTTCCTCACCCACGCACACTGAAAGGGTTGCTTAACTCCAGTTATTTTAAAAAACCTGACTGTGGGAGAGGTATACACTCTTGGTTCACTGAATGCAGTAGGCCTATTGTGTCTTTTAGCCCTGAACCAAGAAGCAGACATTCAGCAAAAGGGCCTTATGACTTGGCATGCTTTCCCTAGAAGCTAGGGAAAGTTCTCCTTATGAGTGATCCCTAGTGCTCCTTATGAGAAAGAGCTAGGTGAAAATTTGCAACCATGACTGAGCCCTGAGATGCCCAAGTCAGTCACTACTGAATGGTAAAAAGGAATTGTGTTCAAACCCCTGCTTTGTGCATGAGCTTAGGTCTATGTCTCAGGGGCACCATCAGATCCTAGAAACATCAAATGGCTTGGGTTGGGAGGGACCTCAAGGATCATCTAGTTTCAACTCCCCTGTCATGGGCAGGGACACGTTTCACTAGACCGGGTTGCTCAGAGACCCATCCAGCCTGGCTTTGAACACTTCCAGGGATGAGGCATCCTCAGCTTCCCTAGGCAACTTGTTTCAGAGCCTCACCACCCTCACACTAAAGAATTTCTTTCTAAAATCTAATCTAAACCTACTCTCAGTTTAAATCTATTGCCCCTTATCCCATCACTACATGTTCTTGCAAAAAAGTCTCAATCTTTCTTGCAGGCTCCCTTCAGGTGGAAGGTGGCTGTTGGTCACCCCAAAGCCTTCTCTTCTCCAGGAGTCTCAATCTTTCTTGCAGGCTCCCTTGCAGGCTGTTGGTCACCCCAAAGCCTTCTCTTCTCCAGGGTGAACAATCCAAATTTTCTCAGCCATTTCCAAAGCCTTCTCTTCTCCAGGCTGAACAATCCAAATTTTCTCAGCCATTCCTTGTACCAGAGGTGCTCCATCCCTCTAATAATCTTGGTGGCCTTCTATGGAATTTCTCCAATGGGTCCACATATTTCCTGTAGTGAGGACCCCAGAGCTGCATGCAGCACTGCAGGTGGGGTCTCACCAGAGCAGGGTAGAGGGGCAGAATTGCCCCCCGACCAGCTGCCCCCACGCTTCTTTTGATGCAGCCCAGTGCACATTTGGCTCTCTGGGCTGGGAGGGCACATGGCTGGGTCATGTCCAGCCTCTCATCCACCCCAAGCCCTTCTTGGCAGGGGCTCTCTGGGCTGGGAGGGCACATGGCTGGGTCATGTCCAGCCTCTCATCCACTAGCACCCCCAAGCCCTTCTTGGCAGGCATCTTTGACCCATAATCCCCTATAAACAAATCTTACTAGATGTTCTAAAATGGAAAATGACCAACAAACAAAGAAATAAGCTACAATACTACAGGAAATTTAGAGGAAGTAAATCCAAGTGACACATTTAACACAATACTCCAAAATCCCACAATGAAATGTATACCTGAACTATTAGTAAGTTTTTAATTATTTGCATGTTCTTATTTTATATATCACATGGGCATTTTTATAAGATTTGTTTAAATAACACAGGAAGCAATGAGAAAAAAATCTGGAGTAGTTTTCAGCTAGCTTACAGATTCATAAGCTATTAATATACAACTTTTAAGGAAAAACATCCAGGTAGCTCATTCATCTTAGTGTTTTGAACCAAGATGATTTCCTGCATCATAACCCCTAAATCTCTGCACTCTGTAAATTTCCTGCTATACAACTTTTAAGGAAAAACATCCAGGTAGCTCATTCATCTTAGTGTTTTAAACCAAGATGATTTCCTGCATCATAGGCCTACTCTGTAACCCCTAAATCAGGTCAAATACAATTTTCATACTTACACTGCCTGGTGGACAACTCTGGACTTTTCAAGGAGGTACTCTGAAATCTGAGCTCCTACTACAGTGCCACCACAAGTGAATTTCATTTCCAAATATTTTCCAAATCTGCTTGAATTATCATTGATGATAGTGCCTGCATTCCCAAATGCTTCTACAAGGTTGTTCACCTGGAGAATTTTCTCCTGCAGAGTCCTGTTATTAGCCTGGATATGAAAAAGATAATTGCTTCAAATTATCAGTGATTACTCAAATTCATGCATTTTTAGGTGTTCCTTTAATCTTCTCATTGGTATTGTGAAGTGTGACATAATCAGGGCAGCTATTCCCATGGAAATTATATGCAGAAAAAGGCATATATATATTAAGGCTGTCTGGAAGAAATAACACTATAAATTAATTTCTACAGTTTCTGTGTTTTTGTGGCTCTGAGATGGCCAATCTGCTTTTAGGATCCTTGTTAGCATCTGGGTACTGCTCCACTGCACCCAATCCATTAGCTTGCTTTCATCTCACCTCGGGCATGCTAAAAATGGCATTTCACTCAGACAGTTATGGCGACCACTTCCCAGAATGACTGTGTCCCACTGACAGCAATCTGGCTGTGGAAGAATGATAAGCTAGAGGAGGATTTTATTTAGTACTGCTTGGGTGACTTGAAGGTACTCAATTAAACAGGGATCTGACTAAGTCACAGCCCTCATTGCAGTGGGTACTTTTCATTGTGGAAACCCCAGCATATTTCCAAGTGACCATACAAGGGAGGAACGAGTAGATAGATCAGCATCATGCTCTAATGTTCTTTGGAAAATGTGTAACAGTCTCACCCCACAAGCAATGCCCCATCCATAGGTTCAGCCCTTTAGACCCAGGATAGCAAAGCCTTAAAGCCTTACAGAGACATCCCCTCTGCCACTTACCTTGCCAAGGACAGTGAGCTGCTGAACCAGCAGATGGGCACTTTGCGTCTTGCCAGCTCCACTTTCTCCAGAAATAACAATACACTGCAGAGAACAGAGCAAGACTGAGCTCATCACATATGTCTCAGCCTGGCAGAGGATGTAATCAGATACCTCAACCATACCTGATCAGAGTTGTATGTCACCATGGACTGATAGCCTATGTCAGCAACAGCAAAAATGTGAGGAGGGTTAGCAGTCCGTTTGGCTCCAATATACAGTTTGGAATGCTAAGCGTAAGAAAAATACAATCATTATCACCATCCTTTAAAAACTTTTTTTTTTTTAAAGTTTGGTTTTATTTTTAGATTAGTGTACAGCATGCTGAGGTTTCCAGCAGTGATGTTTTCTGAGGGAGCTGTTACTGCATTCACTATACCACAAATCTGTATGTATTTAGGACTATAAGAACTGCTAAAAAATGAAGTGCCATTTTCTATAATTTTAGCCCTGATTACATTATGAAATTCAATTTATTAGAAGACAATTTGCTGTTGTCAGACATCATAGTTCCAACTTATTTAAATTTATTTGTGCTTCCCTTACTATTAGTATCTCTGCATGGTATTGATGTTAAAACTGGAGATCTTTTCTGTACCTGCAGTATCTGATAATTAATAATCCCAAATTATTGTATGATCTAACTTTAATATCGTTCCCCTTTTGTATAACAGGGAGACAAATTCCCTTTTGTATAATAAGGAGACAAATTCAAAGAAGTTAACATTTTACAGGATTGCTTTGTGTATGATCTACACTGCACACATAAAGACACTAGAAATTAAGTATTTTGGAGTTTCTCATTTCTGTGCTGAAATTCAGCAAGTGTTAAGAATTTGTGTCAATGTGCACTTGAAAGAACATCTCTACTGGTAATTCTGTTTTTCCAGAGTAAGTTAAAATAAATCTCAAGAATGGTCTTACTTTACACTTAACACAAATATTTATATTTTAGTGGAATTTGGTGCTAGTTTAAAATAGCAAAACCATAATTCTCACACCTGTGAAGAATAAATATCTATGTTCCGAAATGGATTGACAGCGATGAGAATGTCCCCAACGTATGTGTAGATCTGGTCCTTGGCATAACCCTTCTGCAACTGTTCCGTTACTGTATTCTGACGGAGAGGGAATAGGAACCATAAATCACATGGGGGGAAAAAAGAATGTTAGGAAAATGTATAAAATATTTATATTGTTTCAATGAGTGAGGATGGGGAGGGAAGGTATTTATAGTCAGGAGTACAATAGATCGTCATCAAAAGTGAGTAATATTTTCAAACACACTGGCATTTCTAATATTTTGTCTTACTTTGAACAGTACATACTTACAGATCCTCAAATGGCTGTAGAAAAAGGAGTTAAGTACTGCTTTCACTCAGTTCATCAGATGTTTCCATGAGACAGTCTTGTCTACATTTCTACTACTAAATTTTCATGTAACTTATCAAGCAAGAGCTGTTTGATTGAGTCCATAACTGCCATTACAGCTGCTCTAACATTACTCTCAGTTATGATACAACACAGATGTTCAACTGTTTTGTTCCCATTAATGTAAACAATGAGGCATCTTTCCCTATTAACAAGCAAGTCTCTGCTGTGATTGTTCTTTGCTGTTGCAGAGCCAGTTCCCCTGAACCAAGGAAAAAGAAGGGCCCATTAGAGGCATTCAAATTTCTTGATGTAATTTCCCTCAGCTTCTTCTGCATACACAGCTGAGTATATAAAGTGCCTGGTTAGGTTTCCAATCAAAAGAGGCCACAGAGCTGAATGAAGAAATTCAGACCAGCCTTGAGACTAATCTGGGGTACATGTGAAAATATTTAGGCTGCATACCCACTGGAACAGAACAACGAACTGGCAGCAGAGGTCTACAGAAGGAATTGCTTTCCTTCTTCATCTATCTATTCACAGTGTTGTACACTGTGTCCTGTTTAATACACTTACAAGACAAATTCTCAACAGCTGCAGAGGCTAAATTTCCTTCATGAGAAAACATAAGGAGAAAATCTTGGTTTTTCATTGCCTTGATAAACTTTTTGGTTTTGAATGCTCTCTTTCCTTTTTGCCAGAACCAGATTCATGTTACAGAATTATTTTAGGAGAACTTCTGCCCTTTCGGAAATTATTTCTTGCATCAATAGAAAGAAGGTCTCTTGTCTTGCTCTGATGATGGGGCTATCTAAACTGGAAGAAAAATTTGAGTGGAAGAAAGAATACAGTTCTGAGAAGCTGCCATTCATATGTGAAAGTGGTTTTAATTTGATTTGATTTAGTAACACCACACAGTCAAACAATGCATTTAGACAGAGGCTTCCTGAGGATTTCCATGAGAATGCTCCATCTCTGAGTAAATGGGATATATTCCAGTCAGTCTGGGGTTTTTTTGTGTAATAAAATCTCTTTAGCTTGGATTGTTTATATGTATCATGGTAAAAGATAAAAAAAAAAACAAAACCCCTACAGCAGTCTTACTCTTCCCAATACTAAAAAACGCTTAAACCTGAACTTTGTACAGTAGATAAATTTTGGGTTAGTTCAATTGCAGTTAACATCAAGCTACTATAAAAAAGCTCTTGAATAGATGGAATATGTTCTGTGAGCTGTCAGCATGATACAGTTTACCAGCCCAAGTGCCACAATGAATATTCTGGACTGACAAAGTTACAATATACCAGAGAAGTTTTACAGATAAGAGAATGGGAATTATAGTCTATGCAGAGCCCAGTAGATGAAGAATGACAGTTTGTTAGCAACCACTGATGGCCTCCAAGACCTGTAGATAATGTGCTGCAGCCTGATTCTTCTTTCTGGTTTTGAAGCTTAAAGCATAAACACAGCAGATCTCCTCCCTCCCTTATGCCATGTTTCCCTGCACACAGTGGACTAACTTTTGACCTTTGACAAACCAGTAGCATTTGTATCGGTTTGGTCAAAAGTTCACTAGAAGGCATTGACAGATGAGAGGCTCAGCTGACATAAATTCACCCTCATGCATTTCCCCATCAAAATAAGTCAGTGAGAACCTAGTCTGGGAGAGTATAGTAAGCTAGTTTAAGACAACTCTCAGTGCTCAAGCAACAGGGATGGAAGGTCTTGGACCTAGACTAATTTCAGGTTAACACACCACTGCAAACTGGATACTTAGCTGTAATAAAATCCAATTATATAAATCCTGTTTAGTCAATGGTGTTATAATACTGTTTGGTCGACGGCTGTAACTCCAGAGATTGTTTTGGCTTTGAGTTGGAACCTTTCTGACACAGTAAATCTTGTCTAAAATATTTGGGATAAAGTGGTGATATGTCATTGTACAATTACACAACTGAAGTGTGACAATACAGTTGAATTTGAAAATCAACAGCACACCACTGTGACTTAATATGTGATTACTTCTCTTCAGGAAAACATGAAAAAAAGAGGTTCTTACCTCATCCAGTACTTCCAAAGTTGCTAAATCATCTACTTCTTCTTGGTTTGAAACTAGTGACTTACTGTAGTTCCCTTTCTTTGTGTGAATACGTTCAAATCTAGAAAAGAAAGAGATATAATCTCCTGACAAAAGGAAACACAGAGCAGATCTTGCATCTGCAACCATCTTGAAGGCCAAAACATTCTAGCTTTCCATTGTTCTGAATTTAAACACACAAATGTTTGAAAAGCAATACAGAAGTCAACTTCTTGGTACAGCACACCTGTCCCTGACAGTTCAAAAGCTGTGATCTGATCCCAGAACTGCTACCATGAAGAACTTTGTCACTCTATAGATCCCTGCTTAGATCACACCCCTACATCAGCTGTAAGACAGAAGCTTGGCAATACAAGTAAAGAAAAAAGAACATATTTATAAAGCATGCAAGAGTGAAACTCTGGCAGCAACATGCAAAAAGATCCTGCTAACAGTTATGTATAGGACAAAACCAGGGGGGTATGATGAAATAGTACAGCAAAGATGATGCAGACAAAGCACTCAGGACAGAAACATTTCTAGCTTAGTAATGACAGTACTCTAAAGTCTGGCTGAGATGACCTCACTACAGAGCAAAGTGCTACAGAAACAGAACCACTGGGGTAAGTGAAATACATCTTGACCAAATTTTCTTGGACTTGCTAGGAGAAAAAGTTATACATGAGAAGGAAACAGAATTTCAAATATCTCTATAAATATCAATATTACCAGGTTTAAACTTCAAGTTTAAATTTGTCTTAGATTTCTTTTCTCCTTCAATCAAACCATAAACCCAACTTTATGGAGCCTTATTTTAATTAGCAAGAAAATTCCCAGAGACTTGGATCATTCTTTATCCAAGAGTAAAGGCATTGCTAAATAGAGCAAACACAGCAGAGAATGCAAGGTTTACAATTCATATTAGTTATACTTGTGTTATGAGATGAGGGAAAATAAGGGAAAGGGAAACTGGATAAGTAACAGCAGAGTTCACAAACTAAATCAAGCTCAGATATGTAATAAGGCACAAGCACAGGAAAACTATTAAGTAAATCTGATCTCCTGATATGACCTCACTCCCTTTGATGCCACTGGTGGGCAGGCACCTCTCAAACACAAGAAACATTTACCTTGGTAAACTCAGACAGCCAGGAAACTGTTGTGTGAAGCACTCACTCTTCACCTTGATTCCAGACAAGACCAGGTAAATTCTTTATTTAATTTTGATATTTGGATATATGGCATAGATAAAAGCAGACAGGTGTTTTCTACACAGGCAAGAATTTTGATGTACAGTGAACAGATGACAGAAGAAAGAGTGTAGTCTCACCAAGATGGAAAGTGTAGAGTGAGTGAACATCACACTGATGGGAAAAGCTGAACACCCACAGATTTACTGCATATTTAATGGGCTGTACCTGTTCCATGAACATCACCTAGTTCATGAGTGCTGCTTCAGGTCATGCTGGCTGTGCACTGACGAGGGATGTAGATGCAGAAACTCAAGCAGGCAACTTGGTGCAATAACTATCTGCCAGGACTGAAAAGGGACTGGAAGAAATGGGCAAATGATGCCCTCCCAAAATATAAGTGCCCTCACAATCTGGATAATGGAAATCCAGACCCGAGGGCACTTCATCTATCACTTCTTTCAATTTCTCTTGTCTCTAACAATAATTCCCTGAGGATGACAGAATGGCCTGTCCTCATCCTGGTGCCAGTTTCTTCCTCCTTTATACAGGTGCCAGCTACCACTAGAGTTTTTAATTGTCCATAATGCAAAGGCAGGAGCTTCACACCCTCAGCTGACTAACTCTGCAACTTTAATATCAAGACACAAACATGTAAGACTTCCTTGCAAGAGCTACACCATAGTTTCAGTTTCTGTGCCAGCACCACAGCACAGTATCCAGTGAGGAGGCTAAGTGACCAGGAAGCAAAATGAAACAAAGGATTGACAGGATCTACATTATCCTAGGTTTGACCTATTCTTCCTTTTCCTTTGGAATCCAGTTTTAACATGAGAGATGTCCTGATAGTAGTGTCCTTGCAACAACAGTATGAGACCACTTTTGGTAGCAGGTACCCCAGGTAGTATTAAAGAGGAGGTGGTAATACAAAGATTTAAATTAACTCCTCAGCCTTGCATAATCTACTGCTGTTTGATTTGCATTTAGTAGCTAAAGGATGTTTCTGAATCCAAAGTCAGAGGTGTAGACAATATCCTACCCTCTCAATAGAAATCCAACCCCTCTATAATTCACACTCCTATTTATACCCCTTTTTAAAAGTTTAATTTGAAAAAAGTTAAATTTGAGCAGCTGAAACAATTTCTCCTTTGTACCTGCATGAAGGTCATTTTATGTCCAGAAAATGCATCTAATATCAGTGTGACTTTGAGACAGAGCTATCAATATGCACACAAGGGAAAGATGTGGGAATTGCAGGACTATGTCAAGCTCTACTGTTCTATTTTTTCCTTTGCTGAAGAAAGATCCGAAACAAAATATCTGTCAAGCTTTGCTTTCCATTTCTGGTGGCACTGTTACACATTGAACACATTTTTTTTTAATATGTTAGATCCTTAAATGTTACTGCAGATCAGTGAGAGAGTGGTATTTCCCAGGACTAGTTTCAATTACCATTTTTCATTTAATGTAAGAAACTAACAATTGCTGTGCAGGAAGGGAGGAGAATGCTCCAGTCATGGCCATTTTTCTTTTTCTGTTTTTTTTTCTTTTAAGGAAACAGATCTCTGTGTATGCCAGGGAAGTTTAATTACATAAAATCGATCCTCCTGTAATTCTCCCCAGCTGACATTATAAGAACACTAGCGCTTGTTGGGCTAGATTATATTCTCCATTCTCCAGAGTACATAAGAGTGGCAGATTTGCAGAACACAATATTTTTCCACTTTGCTGTCAAAGGGCACAGACCCCTCAAGGGCAGTTATACTGCTTCACTTCAACCACTTAAAAAAACCCCATATCAGTGCTGTTGACATCAGTGCTGAAATTTCATTAAGATCATGCACATAGACATTGTGAACTGAAATAACCATGCATCTCTGTTCTGCTCAAAAATATATTGGAGGCATTGGATTTTACAAGCATGCCCGACATGCAATTCAGGCAGCTAAAGGCCAGAAACTTCAATGCACTAAGGACAAGAAAATGAGTCAAGGCAGCATTGTTTCTGTGCATTCTCTTTCACATCAATGCTCCCCTCCCCCCACCTTATCTTTCAAGATTCAGTTAAATCAAAATGAGGCAACCGCAGCTTTTCTTCTTCAAATTGTCAGAATGTATTTAAAAGATTTCTGATAGTTCCAAAAATACCATGAAAAGGAAAGTGTGACTCATGATGCCCTGCTGAACTCTCTGCCGAAGCTGGTTGGAGAGTCATCTACAGACTAAGAAGTGACAGTAAAAGGGCTGGCCTTAGTCTGAGTGTACAGAAGAAACTAAAAATAATGAAGTTTTTGTAAGGTGAAGGTGGAAACAGCTGTACACCTCCCAGCAGTTACAAACAGCAGTAAAATGACAAAGAAGCAACACAGAGAAACCTCTACAGGATCTGTCATTGCTGTTGATTCTATTTCTCTGGAGGCTGAACAAAGCAGTACTAATTCACACTTAAAATCAAATTTTTTTCTTCACAGATATATCTTGTGAAATCTGCTTAAAACTACAGTCTGCTATCTATGAAAAATCTGTACCTGACTTTAGAAAGTGTAACACTTCAGTGATAAGCCTCCAGCTGCATCTGCACAATGCTTTGCAGATAAACCTGGGTTCCCCTCAGTATTTACATGATTGACAGCTGAGACTACAGGCTGCAGTCTCAGGGAGCTGTGCTGCAGCTTATGCAATGTTCCTGAGAGCACAGTTGCCCTGCAGAGCTATGGGGCTTTTGATTCAGAGGTGGCCTGTGCCCAGCTCTGCACAATCTGTTTGACAAAGCTTGTGCTGCTTTTCCATGACCTGTAAACAAAGCAGATTATTATTCCTTCACAACAGCCTCAAGAAATTGCTGTACACTCACAAATTTTAGGGGGACATATGTGTTCTTAACTGAGCAAATAGGAGATCTCTGAAAGGACTCTTTGGGATTAGCTCATGAGTCAGGTCCAGGCCCCATGCTCAGAGCCATATCGAGACAACAAAGGGGAAACTCCATGGGTATGAAAAGCCTGCTGAAGTGTCCCACCTTCAGGAGAAATGATTGCTGAGCAAGTGGACTAGCACAACAGAAAAGTACCACTTGCAGAGCATTTCTCCTGAGGAGTTCTGAATGCAGGAGGAACATCTTGCTCCTCTTTTCTTCAGAAGGTAAACTATTCTTCATTCAGGCATTGCTGTTGTCCATTGTGTTATATAGAAGAACATTATTCAGATTTAGAGATGTGTTTTAGCTATGGCACCAGATCTGCTTAGTCTAAGGCCTTTGCTCCCAGAACTCCCTACTGCTTCTACAGCCTAAGAGAAGTTTGCAGCACAGCCATCCTACGTAGGAGTGTCCTCAATGCAGAAGCACACACTTCTTGGTACAACAAAGCCCACACTGAGCTCCAGGCGAGGAAGAACTGGCCTGAAGGGATCAAAGATTGAACTGGAATTCCAAAGCCCCCCATTTAAGCCACTGCTCCCAATCAAGTGTCATCTGGAGACCTTGCCCAAGACAGCACTGGACTCTGTGTGTACTATCTTGTACTGCTCCTCATATTGACTTTGTCAAGCCAGCACGGTGATCTCCCACCCTTTCCTACAGCCTGTCCTGCAGAGCTGAGCTCCAAAGATTGCTGTCAGCTGCTTTCCACTGGCAGGATGAGTCAGAGAGACTGGAACAGAGTGAACACCCAGAAAATGGGTGACACAAGTCTGTGCAATCAGGAAAAGTCACGAAAGGAAACTTTATGGAACTCCATGCTTTTAATAGGGGTCAATAAATTGACAACCATCTTTGTTGTACGTGAACTTCTGTGAAATTATCTCCCTGGCCTTTCCAAACAGTTAAATAGAGCAACTGTTTAGTACTCTGTTACTGATTTCAATGCCAATACAGGAGGACAAACTCCTAAGAGAATAATCCAGCTCACCCAAAACTTTGCATCATTTTTCAGTAGAATAGGTCTCTTTCCCATAGTTACTCAGAGAGTATATAAAGATAACTTAATCTGGGGACCAGAGGCATTTGCTGAGATCTAGGTGCACTGAATACTCCTCATATGTACAGCTCATTTCTGGAATGACTCACAATCCCCAGGAAATTCACAATGTACTAATCACTGCATATTTCTACAGAGATTATTGTAAAAGCAGTCAAGAAGAAGACAGCCAAACAATTCAAGATAAAAGTCTTACAAGCCTGACTGTCAGGAGTAGATGCGACAGTTCTGAAGGTTGTTTCAAAGACAGCTATTTCTGTTGCAGAGTAAAATTCTTTACAGTGCAGGGATATTTTCCCTCTTTTGGACTACCAAGAAGTGTATTTTTAGAAGTGTTTTGGGATATATGCTGCAGTACTCATTTTTAATAACTATTTTCATAATTATTTATAAATTTTAACAGCTATACTGCTATATGGAAAGCCTTTGTCAAGCTCAGGGCCTCTGTCCTGAAAGTGACTCTCCTCACAAAAAAAACCACAAAAAATAATTACACTTAGGATGCAACTTTGCCTGCTTCACCTCTCCTCTAATGTGAATTTAGCCCATATAGCATATCTCATATAGCACATTTCACATATAGTTCATATATCATTCCCAACAACAGATTTTAAGGATGTTACAGTCAGGATGCTATGGGAAAATGTTAATGTATCAAGGGATATTCTCTCCTGCTATTCCCATTGTCATTTCAGCCTGAGTTCTGAGCTAGGAAAGGTTAAGTTGCAAATAGATATTTTTAGCATAAAAATATGATGATTTTAGAGAAAAATATACTGCATTTGCTCAAAGTAAAAAAGTGGAATTTTTAATGAAACTCATTGTTAGTATTTAGGCTTTTTTGAGTCTTGAGTAGCACACGATATTCTAGTGCTAGAACACTGCTCAAAAGCTACTGAAAAACCACTATTACCTTCTGTCACTTCAATGAAACCTGAAGCCAGGCTGTGGCAAATTGCCATCTAGTTTTATCAGTGATAATTGAGATTTCTCTGATTACTCAGGTGGTTGGTGGGCTCTCTCCTTCTTGTTGTTTCTCTTGTTTCCATCTCTTGAGAGGATGCAGTACAATGCAGGACCTAAACCTTGGTTCCTGTTCACTAGAATAACAACACTGGGAAGGTTCTGAGGGCCATCATGACTCAGTGACTCCTCAGTGTTAGAAAGTACCTCAGGAACAATGGTGCCAATGGGAGAGACTTCAGGGTGGCTCCACTCTGTGCCTAGAGATTTCCCATCCTTCCTGAGCACACACAGTGCACAAGGATCGGATCTGAGGGTAAGGCCCTCTGCAAAAAACCCATGAGAACATGACACAATGTAATGAGCTTTTCTTTTTGAGCTTTATCAACTGCACATTCAGCAATCAGCAAGGTAAGATCACAAGCACATCAATAGACTACCGCTACAGAAAGCAGTCAGAAAATTGCACCTCAGCCCAATGGGCTAAGAAGGTGACTTGGTTTTGAGTGAAAACAGAAATAGTGCACACAATAAAACCTAGTGGCTGGACCTCAGCTATTAATTTTTTTATTTTCTTTTGAAATATAAAACTGCAATTAATGAATTAAATTTGATGAGGAGAGTAAACACATACAAAGAAAATAACCGCATTCTTAATTTTCAGCTTTAACTCAACATTACCAAGTTTATTGACTTTATATTCCAATGCCCATTGGAACACAATACAGGTAGGAGGATTTCTTCCCTCAGTAGAAGGAAAAGATCTTTAATCTCTTAAGCTACCTGTCTCTCACTGTTGCTCCCATTGTCAAGAAGGAGGAGAGTTATGCCTTCAAATTAGGGACTGAGAGAGTGTGAGCTTGAGATCAGGAAGAAGTTTTACAAGGAAAGTTGCCAGCAGCTGATGAAAGTTCAGAAATTTCGGAATAGGACCCTAACAGATCAGTGTAAAACAGTGCCAGAATAGCATAAACAAGAAAAGAGCAGCTCTTCCACGGGACTTGTCACTATAACGCGTATGTCTTGATTCTAAATCAGATTCACATGGTACTTCTGTACAGACATTGCTTTTAACACCATTTGCTTTGTGCAGATTAAAGGTCAGAAGATACATATGATTAGCAATAAAAGACTTTTAAAAAAGCATGACTACTGAATTTAAAGATCTTTGCATAATCTCTTATCGTTCACAGCAGAAAAAACCCACAAATGCTGTTCTGTAGTCAGTCAAACAGTGTATTTCACAAAATCGCACAATCACAAAATCATTTAGGTTAGAAATACTACTTGTTAGTATTTTAAACTGCTAAACTGAAATATGGGCTATTCTCAGTTTAACCCTGCCATTTAAATTATACTCTGAACTAAATGAGTACATTTTTTGCACAGATTCAGATAAGAAAATAAGTACTTTTTAAAAATTATTATTATTTTGAAAGAGAAAATTCTGCTTTCCTTTGGGAAATTTGACATAAAAGTTACACTTCATCAACTATAAAAGCATAGGTAACTTCATCACCTGGTAATATATTCCTTTAAATTCTGGTTCTCATGAAGAGCTATCAGCTTGTAAAACACAGTTTAAACAGGACAGAGAAAATACCAGTAGATCATCCTGTTCTTGTATCACTTGACTGCTCTGTACACATGCAAATTGTGCCACTTTCTTTATGTTTGTAATGTACAGGAAACAAAAAAAGTTCATGTAGTTTGCTTTATGCAGCATTTACATGAAAAAAATAAAGGATTAAAAAAAAAGAATATGAAAACAAAAGTGAGTTCTCTAAAATGGGTAAAAAAGGTCACAATATCTAATTGACTAGAAGCTTGATTTGTTTTTCAAAATCATTTAGGCTTTAAAAGGACTAATATCACAAGTGTTAACAAGATTTTAATTAATATAACCTAGTGATTTGTACTTATTTTACCACATATCATTTCCCTGTGTTTTTTAAATAAATGCCATTTAAAGCCTGGATTATGCTGCTGGTTTAGTGCTCAGCACTGACATCTAGTAAGCTTATTTGAATTCAAGAATCTTTCTTGATTAAGCAAATGTCAAGTCTGCAATATATAGAGCACATAAATCCAGTCTGAAGCTTAAATGTAAGCCAAATGCATAGTTTTATACTGTCATGTCAGAAAAGAGCAAACACTACTCCTCCCATATCCAGTTAAAGTTGAAAAAACTTCAATGTCATAATTATTTAGAAATATATTTTTACTATCATCTTCAAAGCATATACTAAATAGAAAATTCTCCAGAACTAGAACTGAAGACTGCTGTATATATTGTTACTCTAAATGTGTGAAAGGAAATGTGGCAGATTTTAACAAGCTTTTTCCACATAAATGATAATGCCAAAACATATTTTTAATTTTCATGTTCCTTTTTAAAAAAAAAAGAAAAAGCATTGTGCTTTTTGAGCAGTCATACCAGTAGTACTTCGATACTATTCTATAACATTTCACATCTGATATATGCATGTACTGTATGGAGTTTTTTCAATTGTAAAACTGAGCCAAGACATTTTAAGTATTTTAAATAAAAGCCATCAGGTGTTAAGTTATTTGATCAGAATTGATATCACTTAGATGCTAGTGGAAGAAGAATGTTTCCATTCAAGAAGACATAAGATTTGAAGTTTGCAAAACATGGTCTGCTAGGACTATCACTTATTTCAGTCAGAAACATCCAACTCCTGCAGGAACCTGACTAGCTGGTTTTAGCATATTTGCTCAAACAAAACATTAGCTGACCATGCAAATGTATGAAAATGCCAAACATTAATTTCACCTAACCTTGGCTTTCTAAAAACTGGGGTCTAAGACTATATCTTGAGTCACAGAAGAAAGGGGAGGCACTTCCAAAGATTCTTTTATCCCACATGTGACTCACGACGCCTCTCTCTTTCCATTGGCAGTACAGGGGACCCCAAATATTAAACTTTCCATTTTTTTGCCATCTAAAGTTATAAGGGTTGAATCTTTCTCTGAGTGCTAGTCATATGAAACAGTGGAAGTATCAAGATTGACCCAGTTGGTCTACTCTTTAGCTATTTTTACCTTGCCTTTTCAGTGACTCCCATTTGTTGATGAACATCAATAAATTCCATGAGTTGCCTTTGTAGCACGTTTTCTTTTCCTTCAATTTGCTTAATAAAATCATGCTGCAAAAGAGTAGATACTGTTGGACGCTTCTCATAATCTTTAGTCAAGCACCTGTACTGGCAGAAAAAAACATATGATCATTGAGGGTTCGCAGTTAAGTTTTGAAATGCTTGTCTGGAGTTCATTCATGACTCCATAATAAATGTATCTGTCTTAATCAAAATAGCTCTGCACTGAAAACTGATATGACTTCACAGAATTGATGAGTCCAAAAAGTTAAATTATTGCATTTTAAAACTAAATATTCTTTAACTTAATGTCAAGGGTGTTGAAATGCTATTTCATGTATAAATACAGAGCCTCACTTGGAAGTCAAATGGATTTACTAACTAGCCTTTTAAGGGAGAGTATTAGTTGCAACAGATTTCAACAAAAGATATTTTACACATGACATTTACACGTGTTCCATATTCAACCAGAGTGGTCTCAGTTGTTACTCACTTGTTAATGAAGTCATTGAATTCAGGTGACCACAGTTCAGGCTGCTGTAGCGTTGGAGGAGGATTCCTGCAAAGGTCAGTGTGGTGATAAGTTAATAAGCTACTCGACAAAAACAATGTGTGAAGGCAGGCTGAGTAATGAGTTTTAGAAGGCCACCAAAAAAAGATATTGATTTCCACTGGTAAAAAGAGCATGGGTAGATGATGTAATGCCTTATTGGCTCTCCTACTTTACATAACTAATAAGGAGAAATAGCATCGAGATAATCTACCGAGTGTAGCTAAGAATCACTGTGATTTTTTCAATCAAATCAATATAAAGAAATTAACAACCCATTATTCACTATTTACTTGTAATGGCAAGTTCCTTTTTTCAAGCCTGAAACAATATACTCTCTTAGGAGAAATTTTAAAAAGCAATTCTAAGTTTTCTCAGAAAGAGAGAATTCATCAACTTCATGAACAAAGTGTCCCAAGGAATTGGTTCTTTATTAATCATTCCTCATTCATCAGAAGATAATCGGAAGTGAAGGTTTAAATACAGATCTATTGTAAATGCATATACTGCTTTCTTTTCTACTGTTAAAGCTGTTTACTCAAGGTGTTATTTTAATTGAAATGTTCTTGACAGTCTTCTTCCATTCAGAGGTGCCATTTTCACTGAATAAGGTCATGAAGACAAAAGGAATGACCAGCCAATAGACAAGGTGACTTCCTGTCTCTTTTCAATCAGCCATAACTGCTTTTCTTCAAGTGCTGCTTAATGTTTATTCTATCACTCTCAGGTTTTACTAAACAGAATGAAAGGTTATTGATCTTATATTTGCTCCAGGGCAGAAAGGTGCCCAGTACTTGAAAGAGTATAAGCCAGAAGCTTTTTTGAAGTCCTAGATGCAGTGACTGACCACAATAGTTTGCAACTGCTTTTTCCATAGCAAGCAAAGGTAGGAAGACCATTCATACTCTGCTTCAGTGCCAAGTCAGCCAAGATTACTTAAACCAAAAGGTAACTTAAACTAATTTGGGTGTCTTGGCTGAAAAGGACTCTAAGCACTTACATATGTTATGTGGGGCTCAGCTGCTGTGATACTGCTCCAGTTCTTAGGATGAAATCCAGAAACTACTACTGTATGATCATTACCTACAGACTTGGAGATTGATGTTTTTTGAAATGCCATAAGTGGCACTTCGGGTACTTATATTTTCAGCTTCAAAGCAAAAAACACAAAAGAAGTTGCTATTTGCACTGCCCAAGAACAGCAACACTGGAACTGCCAGAAGCAGCACACGCTAATGAAAAGCTGAAGCCTAAATGCATGTGAGTGTGGGAACAACCTTTGCTACAAAGGATAGAAGATAACTCCTGAAGACAAATATGGGACCTGTTCACCACAGTGGCATATTCAGACTCTGTATTTCTACCATATGTCATTCTTTGTAACAGAATATATGAGACTCAAGCAAGCCCTGCATTCATGTGGCAGCAGCTCACTCAGGAGAGGGCCCTATGATTTTTTCTCAAATGCAGCTATAAGTCAGCTCTGAACTTGTCAATGTGTACACATGGTTAAAGCAGAGCTGGCAGAAAATACAGCTGGGCAAGGTATTTTAAACCTACCTCCTAGTATAAATAATATAAAGAAAGTCCACAAACTTACAAGGTCTAAGTGTGAAGAAAGCAAACTTTTGGGAAGCAAAAACTTTTGGAAAGCAAACTTTAGGGAAAAAGTTCAGTCTAACCCATTAACAAACAAAGACATCAAGCTATTACCTTGGTATTTTGAAGAGTGCCCTCATGGGATGCAAATCAGCAAGTGGTGGATCTCCATCTCCCAACTCTATTGCGGTAATACCCAGAGACCATGCATCACATCTAGCATCATAGGAGCTATCTAGCTGCTGCTCACAGGCAATCACCTGTTGGAGAAAAAGACAGGGATGGTTAAATGTCCAGATTTAAGAGCACACCCACAGGTGGAGGAATCTCTTACAGATTACTCAGTGAAACAAAGAGATATACACACATTTAGAAAGCTAAAGCATCCATCCAATTTTTGCTGAAAACCCTCCAACTTTGAACTAGAGAAAGCAGGTGTCCATGAACACCACATTCTCCAGCCAGATATTCTCTGACTTGGAGAAAGGGTACAAATCCATGGTTTTTTCAGCTGAATAAACTGCATCCCACAACAGAGGAAGTAGAAGTAAACTCAGCAACCCTACAACTCTTTATATGAATTATTCTTGCTAAGTAATTATGTAACTATGCTGCTCTCTCTATGAAGTGAAACAATCAGGAAAGCATTCACTATCTCTTACTGGGTCCTTATTCAACCAAATCAGCCAATTTCCAGTCAAGTGGATCTGGACAAAGTTCATTAGATCACAGCAAAGTATTTACCTTCAAATACATTTCAGCTTATCCATAATGCTGGATGAATCTAGAATTTTTCATCCGATTATTGCAGATCTAAACCAACATGTATATCATTAGTTATATGGATAGACTTATGTGTATGAACACAGTGTGTTGAGAAAAATAAATATTTATAAACAGAGTAGTTTCATGTGCTATAAACAGATGTACTTGCATGTGTTTGTGTGCACAGAAATACTCTAAGTAGACAAGCTTATTTATAAGGAAATATTTTTCCTAACTCAGCTTAAAATGTATCTGTATATGCTTCAATTTCAGTCAGGAAAAACCTCCACAGAATCATAGTGCATCTTCTTCATTCATAATAACTTTTTCCATTTCTTGCTGAAGCAAGTATGGATATATAGTATTAAAAACTTTCCAGGTGCAGAAGTCAAAAAATAGAAGCTATAATGTGTCACAGTACCATCCTGGGCTCCTTCCCTCCATGGGGAGATATCTATAGTTTCAGAGCTTGAAAGGCTGGAAAGTACCAATTGTAGCACTCTATATTCTTCAACATTTTAGTAAGCATTTCAGAGTCTTGCTCCCTGCATCTAATCTTGTAACTTCAAAAACAAACCTAATTTTAACTTAATTCTTGCAAACATGTAAGACAGAAAGGTTTAAAACACTTTTTAAAAGGACATTGCTGTTTCATTTGGTGAAAGGACCAGGAAGAAAGACAAAGAGCAGAAATGCAGAATACAGCAGCTCGAGTACCAGTGACAAAATGTTCTGAAAGCTGACCTCTGGAGCCATCCAGAACGGAGTGCCCACGGAGGTGTTCCGACGGAGACGAGTGCTGGTCAGCTGAGCAGACACACCTGGAAGAACGAGGGGAAGCCATCATCAGAGCAGTTTCCATCCAAGACAGCCCTTCTGAAGGGTGACATCCTTGTCTTGTCATGCTACAACTTCCTGCACAGATGAATCTCAGATACATCTTTCCAGTTCTCTGGAAAGAGAGGCCCAGTCCTGAAAGGTTCTCTGCATCCTTTTTTCCAGTGGCTTCAGCAGGACCAGGACTTAATCCCAAATGAGCATTTGATTAGCAATCTGACTCCATATATTTTGACTGGTTAATTAAAGGTTTTCTACATCCTGTTTCAAGAGAGCAGTAAAACACCTTAGGGAGGGTGGAAAAGTACTGTACCTTCCATGCCTTCTAATGCTCACTACTGACACTAACCCTCCGTTTCATTTTATATATATATATATATATTTCATGTTAACACTATAAAAGATACTTATTCTCCTCTCTTAACTGCTCTGCCATAAAAAAGAAACAACAAAACAGTGAAACCTCAAAAATTCTTACAAAAGCAGAAGTCTCTCCATGCTCAAAGCACATTCTCAAAGTAACAATCCTGTAAATCAGCTTTGCAATATGAGCTGTAGTTTAGGGAATTAACTATTTCAGGCCAAGGGTTGGAAAGTGAACTCTGAAGTTCAAAGATTCCTTGCCGTTTTGAGTTAAAAGACACTGAAATATTAGAAATTCAAATGGGCTACAGCACAATTCTGAGCGGCCTGCCACCAATTTCCTTCCTTAAAAAACAAGGGTGTACTGGTTGAAAATATCTCTAGTGCATGCAAAGGGGACAGTACAACATGGAAAAAAACAGCCCCTCAGCCAGCATGCCCTAAACTATTATGGATTTATGAGTCACAAATAACAGTGAAGTCCACACATGGAGAAAAACAACCCCCCAGCTAGCAAGTCCTAAACTATTACGGATTTGAGTAATGGCCAACAGTGAGGTCCACCAGGGCATATTCTGAAGAGCTGATGCCATGGATGGCCAGAAAGGTCCTGTGCTCTACATACACATGCTCCAGCCTCAGTCTGACTGACACTGGAGCTCACTTATTTTGCCTTCGTACATACATTTGCCTTTTCTTTAAAATGTAAAACAACTTGGTTTCACTCTGTGAGTTCCATTTCATTGTTCTGAAACACATGAAGCTCCAGTGAGCACCACTGTCCAGTTTCAACTCTGTATTGTCTGGTTTGAAAATGCTTGACCTTCTCTTCCCTGAAAAGCCTGAAGACAGTTCATAACAAGAGCAATTCACATTAACTATCCAATGAGAATATTAACTAAACCTTTCTCTGGGCAGGGTTTGGCTGTTTTGGGGATTTTTCAATATAGGTAAGAAACCATAGAGAGCTTGATCTGTTTTTTCACTCTAAAGCTACGTGTTCAGCTCTGATTCACTAAATATCTGCATTTGCCTCTCGCAGAAAAGTATGTAACATCTGAAAATAAAGACTGCAAGAAATACCCTGCCTATTCCTTTGAGATAAATGCAACCAGTGTGGCTGCCTCCCTCTAGTCTAAACCAGTCTTGAGAAAGTTCCATCTTTTTCTCTCTTTATGTCTGCAGAAAGTCCAATACACAGTGTTATGCATCACGGAAAGCAGGACAATGTGAGTCTTAGCACAAAGTCCATCAATCCTACTTCTACTCAGCTAAGCAGGGGCTTTGTTTTTGCCATCTCAAGGAGTTGTCTGAGATCCAGCTTCCGGCTCACAGAGTCTGTGGCTGTTCTGAGCTCTCAGAAAAACATGTCACACATCACCTCAACTCTGAAAGCACTGCAGGGATGCCAACAGACATTATTAGGTGAGATTCTTGATTTCAGAGGGAGCTGAGGCTACTCTCCCTTCCTCCATGTTGTGGGAGTCCCCTGTGCAAAGCTCTTTTTTTGCAGTCTTGGACAAGGATATGAGATTAGATCTGCAAACAAAGAAAGATACTGACTATATTTTTATGATTCCAATGTCAGATTTTATAAATAAACATAACTTTCTGTAGAGATAAGGAACAAAATATAATAGGTACATTAATGTGTTCAGTCTTCTCTGTCTATGCACTGTTGGTTTTTGTCCCTCTTTAAACTGTAATTATTAAATGAACTGAAGATTTTTTTTCCCCTCACCCTTCTTTCATTTCCGTAAAAAACTGATTTAATTTGAATTGTTCACCACTTTCTTTAGGCTCTTGGGGGTTTTGTGTGCTTTTTGTTTGGTTGGTTTTTTTAATCCTTTTGCTCTCAGCATTAAAGTGGCATTTTAGATTATGCAGCGTAGGTCTTATGACAAATGATATTTCCTTGGGCTTTTTCTGTGTATAGAGGAAAGATGATGTAATTCCACACTTAGTAACATTTCTTCCAGCATTTCAGTAACCAGTCAAGCATACAGCTGGCCACTTTTTTTCACCTACAAATTTTCAGACAAAACCATCTTGCTCCTCCCCTCCCAATTTACTACTGCTTTGTTGCAAAATGAGCCAAATATTATCCTAAGAAAATCTAAAATATGTCAAAAAATGACGTTTTATTACACATTAATTATTTTTTCTTATGGAAGTTAAGAGCTTTATAAATATGTGCATTAGTAGTACCAAAACACACCAAAAAGAAAATATTGTGCATACATCTGTATTTTTTATTATTTTTTTCAGGCACCATTTTACTAATAAAAACTGAAAATCAGGACACTTACACTATGAGCATACTATGAGTATTTTTCAAGGTTTTCATTGTGAAAAGAGGCATATTGAAATAACCTTGCAAGTAAAGCCTCCTGCTTCTGACCTTAGCACTCAGTAAAAGAAAAACAGGGCAGAAATTAGTTCCCTATTATTAGGAAAGACTTGTCTCACAGTGCCCAATCTGAGCAGACAACATTATGATCTAAACTGGGAGGTTGTACAACATCCCTTTATGATGATGTCCTGAGACAGCAGTATGCCCATTTCAGTGCCTGATGCTAGTGAAGGAAGGGCCAGCCCTAGCAAATTGTACTGATCTCCCATTTGACACACAGCAGGGAGACTGCATTCATACACAACATCCTTGACCTTACTCCCAAGGGCTTTCACTCCCTTAGCTATTTCTTCCTTCTTTATTTGTGCCTTCAGTGTATACTTCACTACCAAAGCATCCTCACTGTGATTTTCTGCAGATTAAGAACATCATTAACTCCATCATTCCTCCAGATAGTGTCTGGGCCAAAAACGGCTCACACTGTTAACCCTACAGATCTAAACAGGCCAAAATGCTTTGTATTACTTCCTGATCTTTTTTTATCTCCTAGGGAAACAGATGTAAAACAGCAGCAGTGTTTCACACTGCATTCCCCTTAAGCTCTCTGGCAGGTATGTTTTGTCATTCTTGTTCCATGTCATATGATGCAAAAAGTGGCCTCTCCTTCCACATCTCTTTGCCCAAAGGTGTGATGTCAGTATTTTATAAATCACTCAATTCCACCTTTTTTAGCAGATCTGTAGGCAGCAGGTCCTAATGGTCCCAGGTTTTTCTTTAGCACCTTAAGCTTCACTTTGAGAAGAAGCTACTATTCCTGTCAGGATGCAGACAGGGAAGTAGCTACTTCCCTCTCAACAGTGGTGGAGTTATAACTCAATGCCTCTCTAATTGCTGATACCTTTGACACTGATTTCTTTGTTTGCTCATTGCAAGTTGTATTGGTGAGGTTTTTCTTAGCATTGTGTATATATTTCAGGTCAGCTGAATGTATACAAAATGCTAAGAAAAACTTCCATCATGCAATTCCTTCATACTACGAAATGACAAAAGACAACTGGGAAAGAACAATAATAAACCAAGGCAATTCTGGTAGTCCAAATGGCAACCATCACAACACACCAGGTGTATAATTATGTGCAACCACACATAGTGGCATCCCCACTAAGACTGTAAAAGGAGATCAAAGAGCTTCTCCCAGGTTTAATTACTTATCATTAATAGAAAGACATTTAATAGAAAATGTTAACAGACCATAAGGACACAAATGGTGGGTTTTATGATTTTACAAGAGATGATTCACAACCTTTGTGAAACAATTTGATTTCGTATTTCAATATTCAAAATTCCTTATGGATTATAAACTGAACCCAAAAGTAAACTTTTAAATTAAAAGAGCACAGGACTATACAGCTCAATAGTGAGCTGTTGTGAGAAAAGAATGCTTCAGAACTTCTGCTCAGTGAGAAGGGCTCAAATTAAGTCTAGAACTAAAAATCAGATTCTGACCTGTAGATGGAAATAAAGAAATAAGAAACAAAGTTGAAATGATGAGTCAAAAGTATTAGAATTTTCAACACTATTTTATGTTGGAAGGTGTTATGTTTTGAGGAAGCATGACTTGCTTTTCATAAACGCATGCCACCTCCTCCCAATCACCTTCTTGTCTGTCATAGTTTAGAAATTATTTCCAGGATTATTGGCTCCATCACCTTCTGTGATGGAGATCATATGTGACTGACCAGACCATAGTTCTCTGAAACCTCCTTCTTGCCTTTCTTGAAGATTGGAATGAAAATAATTTTCTTCATTGCTTCAGGAATCTCCTTCAATCTCCAAGATATTTCAAAGATTATTGTCAGTGATCTTGCAATGACATCAGCCAGTTCCCTCAGCACTCCTAGGTGCATCCCAACAGGCCCCATGGACTTGTGTCCACCCAATTCTTTTAAATGCTCTCTAACCTGATCCCCCTTTACTGAAGGTACATTTGCCTTGCTTCAGAGTTCCCCACTGGTCTCAGGGATCTGGGATTACAAGTTAAGACAAAGTGGCAAAGAAGAGATTCAGTGCCTCCAGCTTTTCCATGTCCTTTGTCCACATTCTCTGTCTTTCTGTATTATTTTGATGTACATAGTGTTTTACTGCTGAAAACTAGTGTTTCCCAAACCCTCAGGAAAACACACACTGTAGATGCAAATTTTTAACTGAAATAGAAATATCCAAAAGATAACCAAAAGGGCTAGAAAGATCAAAAGCTTAGTATCCAGG